GCCGCATAGAGCCAGGCGGTACCGGTCCAGCTCCCGACAGAGGAGTGGCAGCCTCTCCTCCGCAGTGAGCATTCGAACATTCCACGTGGCCACCCGTAGTGCTTTTCGTTGTTTCTGGAGTAGCTCCGAGGGTAGGTATTCAATCTCCTGGCTCCGCCAATTGGGTTTGGCCAGGAGACGTCATAGATGCCTGGCCCCCGGGGCCTCCGCACAAGCTTATTAGTTACATATTTCAGTTTAACTCGTGGTTTCGTGGTAATCCATTGAAGGTGGACGGGTTACCAGCCCCTCGCACCCGTCCAGAGCCTCCGTTTAGCCCCTGTGGTGGACACATATGCCATGAGGGGAGGAGCCAATCAAAATTGGATCTCCCCCCACAGCACTGTCCACAACAGAGTTGCCCGTCCGGCACCGCGAGGAGGTAGGGGGTTGTTTTGCCGGACACTCATCCACCCACCCACTCACACACTCACCCACCCACTCACCCACCCACTCACCCCCACTCATCCACCCACCCACTCACTCAGCACTCACCCACCCACTCACCACCCACTCAGCCACTCACCCACTCACCACCCACTCACCACCCACTCACCCACCTGCTCACCCACTCACCCACCCCACCCACCCACTCACCACCCACTCATCCACCCACCCACTCACTCAGCCACTCACTCACCACCCCACTCACCACCCACTCAGCCACTCACCCCCCACTCACCCACTCACCCACTCACCCACCCACCCACCCACTCAGCCACTCACCCACTCACCACCCACTCACTCAGCCACTCACCCACCCACTCACTCAGCGACTCACCCACCCACTCACCACCCACTCACCAACTCACTCAACCACTCACCCACCCACTCATCCACCCACCCACTCATCCACCCACTCATCCACCCACCCACTCATCCACCCACCCACTCACCACCCACTCACCCACCCACTCACCACACACTCATCCACCCACCCACCCACTCACACACTCACACACTCACGCACCGACCTACCCACTCACTCAGTCACCTGCTCACTCACCCACCCACTCACCACTCACTCACATATCCACCCACTCACCCACCCACCCACTCACCACCCACTCACCAACTCACCCACCCACTTACCACCCACTCATCCACCCACCCACTCACACTCACCCACTCACCCACCCACTCACCACCCACCCACTCACTCACCCACCCACTCACAACCCACTCAGCCACTCACCCACTCACCACCCACTCACCCACCCACTCACCCACCCGCTCATCCACTCACCCACCCACTCACCCACCCACTCACCACCCACTCACTCATCCACCACCCACTCACTCAGCCACTCACCCACCACTCACCACCCATCAGCCACTCACCCCCACTCACCCACCCACTCACCCACCCACTCACCACCCACTCACTCAGCCACTCACCCACCCACTCACTCAGCCACTCACTCACCCACGCACTCACCACCCACTCACCCACCCACTCACCCACTCACCCACCCACTCACCCACCCACTCACCCACCCACTCACCCACTCACACACTCACGCACCGACCTACCCACTCAGTCACCTGCTCACTCACCCACCCACTCACCACTCACTCACATATCCACCCACTCACTCACCCACCCACCCACTCACCACCCACGCACACACTCACCCACGCACTCACTCACCTACCCACACACTCACCACCCACTCACTCACCCACCCACTCACCACTCACTGTCAACGATGATTTTTTTAATGTTCAAATTCACTGCAATAACATTTCAAACGTCATGGTCTAGCACCACACAAAACACAACTACATTTCAAAACACTGACTTCTGTTAGCAAATAACAAATTCTGTCTGAAAACACTGAAAATTGTAGAGTTGTGTAGTGTATAGTGTAGTGTATGGTGTAGTGTATAGTGTAGTGCATAGTGTAATGCGTAGTGTATAGTGTAGTGTGTGTGAGTAGTAGTGTATAGTGTAGTGTGTGTGAGTGTAGTAGTGTATAGTGTAGTGTGTGTGAGTGTAGTAGTGTATAGTGTAGTGTGTGTGTGAGTGTAGTAGTGTATAGTGTAGTGTGTGTGAGTGTAGTAGTGTATAGTGTAGTGTGTGAGTGTAGTAGGGTATAGTGTAGTGTGTGTGTGAGTGTAGTAGTGTATAGTGTACTGTGTAGTAGTGTATAGTGTAGTGTGTGTGAGTGTAGTAGTGTACAGTGTAGTGTGAGTGTAGTAGTGTACAGTGTAGTGTGTGTAGTAGTGTACAGTGTAGTGTGTGTAGTAGTGTATAGTGTAGTGTGTGAGTGTAGTAGTGTATAGTGTGTGTAGTGTGTGTGTAGTAGTGTATAGTGTAGTGTGTGTGTGAGTGTAGTGTATAGTGTAGTGTGTGTGTGAGTGTAGTAGTGTATAGTGTAGTGTGTGTGTATGTGAGTGTATAGTGTAGTGTGTGTGAGTGTAGTAGTGTATAGTGTGTGTAGTGTGTGTGTAGTAGTGTATAGTGTAGTGTGTGTGTGAGTGTAATAGTGTAGTGTGTGTGAGTGTAGTAGTGTATAGTGTAGTGTGTGTGTGAGTGTAGTAGTGTATAGTGTAGTGTGTGTGTGAGTGTAGTAGTATATAGTGTAGTGTGTGTGTGAGTGTAGTGTAGTGTGGTGTGAGTGTAGTAGTGTGTAGTGTAGTGTGTGTGTGTAATAGTGTAGTGTACTGTGTAGTTTAGTGTATAGTGTGTAGTGTATAGTGCAGTGCATAGTAGTGTATAGTGTAGTGTATAGTAATGTGGTGTAGTGTATAGTGTGTAGTGTCATGTCTAGTGTATAGTGTAGTGTATAGTGCAGTGTGTGTGTATGAGTGTAGTAGTGTATAGTGTGAGTGTGTGTAGTAGTGTATAGTGTAGTGTGTGTGTGTGAGTGTAGTATGTGAGTGTAGTAGTGTATAGTGTAGTGTGTGTGTGAGTGTAGTAGTGTATAGTGTAATGTTTGAGTGTAGTAGTGTAGTAGTGTGTGTGAGTGTAGTAGTGTATAGTGTAGCGTGTGTGTGTGTGTGTATTAGTGTATAGTGTAGTGTGTGTGTATTAGTGTATAGTGTAGTGTGTGTGTGAGTGTATTAGTGTATAGTGTAGTGTGTGAGTGTAGTAGTGTATAGTGTAGTGTGTGTGTGAGTGTAGTAGTGTATAGTGTAGTGTGAGTGTAGTAGTGTGTAGTGTGAGTGTAGTAGTGTATAGTGTAGTGTGTGAGTGTAGTAGTGTATAGTGTAGTGTGTGAGTGTAGTAGTGTATAGTGTAGTGTGTGAGTGTAGTAGTGTATAGTGTAGTGTGTGTGTGAGTGTATAGTGTAGTGTGTGAGTGTAGTAGTGTATAGTGTAGTGTGTGTGTGAGTGTATAGTGTAGTGTGTGTGTAGTAGTGTATAGTGTAGTGTGTGAGTGTAGTAGTGTATAGTGTGTGTGAGTGTAGTGTATAGTGTAGTAGTGTAGAGTGTAGTGTGTGTGTGAGTGTAGTAGTGTATAGTGTAGTGTGTGAGTGTAGTAGTGTATAGTGTAGTGTGTGTGTGTAGTGTATAGTGTAGTGTGTGTGTAGTGTATAGTGTAGTTTATTGTATAGTGTGTAGTGTATAGTGTAGTGTATAGTGCAGTGCATAGTAGTGTAGTGCATAGTAGTGTATAGTGTAGTGTATAGTAATGTGGTGTACAATAGTGTAGTATACAGTGTCATGTATAGTGTGTAGTATAGTGTAGTGTATAGTAGTGTAGTGCATAGTAGTGTATGGTGTAGTGTATAGTAGTGTATAATAATGTAGTGTATAGTGTGTAGTGTCATGTCTAGTGTAGTGTGTGAGTGTAGTAGTGTATAGTGTAGTGTGTGTGCGAGTGTATAGTGTAGTGTGTGTGTGTAGTGTATAGTGTAGTGAGTGTAGTAGTGTACAGTGTAGTGTGTGTATTAGTGTAGAGTGTGTGTGTGAGTGTATTAGTGTATAGTGTAGTGTGTGTGTGAGTGTAGTAGTGTATAGTGTAGTGTGTGTGAGTGTAGTAGTGTATAGTGTAGTGTGTGTGAGTGTAGTAGTGTATAGTGTAGTGAGTGTAGTAGTGTATAGTGTAGTGTGTGTGAGTGTAGTAGTGTATAGTGTAGTGTGTATGAGTGTAATAGTGTAGTGTGTATGAGTGTAATAGTGTGGTGTAGTGTTTGTGAGTGTATAGTGTAGTGTGTGTGAGTGTAGTAGTGTATAGTGTAGTATGTGAGTGTAGTAGTGTATAGTGTAGTGTGTGTGTGTGAGTGTATAGTGTAGTGTGTGAGTGTAGTAGTGTATAGTGTAGTGTGTGTGTGAGTGTATAGTGTAGTGTGTGTGTAGTAGTGTATAGTGTAGTGTGTGAGTGTAGTAGTGTATAGTGTAGTGTGTGTGAGTGTAGTGTATAGTGTGTAGTGTAGTGTGTGTGTGAGTGTAGTAGTGTATAGTGTAGTGTGTGTGAGTGTAGTAGTGTATAGTGTGTGTGTGAGTGTAGTAGTGTATAGTGTAGTGTGTGTGAGTGTAGTAGTGTAGTGTGTGTGTGTACTAGTGTATAGTGTAGTGTAGTGTACAGTGTCATGTATAGTGTGTAGTGTAGTGTATAGTGTAATGTATAGTGTATTGTATAGTAGTGTATAGTGTAGTGTGGTGTGTAGTTTAGTATACAATCTAGTGTAGTGTGTAGTGTAGTGTATCGTGGAGTGTAGTGTATAGTGGAGTGTAGTGCAGTGTAGAGTGTAGTGCATAGTAGTGTAGTGTATAGTAGTGTATAGTGTAATGTATAGTGTATAATGTAGTGTGTAGTGTATAGTGTAGTGTAGTGTGTAATTTTGTGGGTAGTGTAGTGTATAGTGTAGTGTAGAGTGTATAGTATAGAGTATAGTGTAGTGTGTAGTTTAGTGTATAGTGTAGTGTATGGTGTAGTGTATCGTGCAGAGTGTAGTGTATCGTGCAGAGTGTAGTGGATAGTGTAGTGGATAGTAGTGTAGTGCATAGTAGTGTAGTGTATAGTATAGTGTATAGTGTATAATGTAGTGTATAGTGTAGTGTGTAGTGTAGAGTAGAGTGTAGTGTATAGTGCAGTGTAGAGTGAAGTGTATAGTGTAGTGCATAGTAGTGTAGTGTATAGTAGTGTAGTGTATAGTGTAGTGTATAGTGTAGTGTAAAGGAGTCAAATCCATTGATTCACAGCAACTGCAAAACACAGAAAACGATGAAGAAGAGTGTCAAAGTTCGCAGTGCCAAGTACACACACGCACACACACACAACAACCACCATTCGCCACTAAGTGGCAGTGACGTCACCACGACGCTTGTGCCAGGCCATGTGCACTTTGAGGCCACGTGAAGTGTCGAACGCCAGCTGGCAGGAGGTCACAGGGCAGAGCAGGTGCCATGGTTCGACTGACTTAGATGACTGAGATGACTGGCTGATGCACCACCTGTGCCCCCTACTGTGCCAACCTGCTGCTTTATCCACCCAGCGCTCCGCTCATTGTTGTGAGCGTCGCTCCTCTGCCCTCCGTTGTTGGAGGGCGACTGCCTTCAATTGGCCAGCAGTAGCAGTAGCGTCCTTCACGAGCCTCCTCCTCCACAGCAGCCGATCTTGACACTGCTGGTACCAGTCATCGGCAAGTCCACTCAGCTCCACGTCCTCCTGTACCACATCACACCCATCTCTCTCTAGCCCGTGCCGCGCCCGTTTAGCCCCCTCAATCCGGCCGAACAAAAGCTGTTTGGGCATGCGGTGGCTGGGCATGCGGGCTACATGACCCAGCCAACGCAGCCTTGCCTGCCGGAGGAGCTCAACGATGGGACCTTGCCCAAATCTTTCAAAGATTTGTGAGCTCCTCACACAATCCAGCCTGGTTAAACCCAGGATGGATCATAGGCAGGCTAGCCTAAATGTTTCTAACCGGCGAAGATGTACCTTTAGGGGGGTCCAAGTTTCGCAAGTGTAGAGAAGGGAGGGAATGACCATGGCCGAGAAGACCTGAAGTTTAGTGCGGAGCGACAGACCAGGTAGCTTCCACACAGCGTTACGCAACTGATGACAAGATATTGCCGCTCGACTGATTCGGAGTGAGACCTCTGCTGTTAAACTGGAGCCAGTCATAAGCACACTGCCAAGGTATGGGAAACACTCCAATCTCTCCACAACTACCCCATCACCGTTTGGGAGTTGTGGGGGTGGAGTGTCCGATGGTACAAAATACCCAGGCAGGTGCTTGGTTTTGGTGGGCTGATGGTATGGCCCCATCTCTTAGTGGCACGCTCCAGTCTCAGCAGCAGCATCTCCAACTCCTCCTCTGAATGAGCAGCTATTACCAAATCATTGGCATACATAATGTGGTTGAGCAATAGGGAGCCATCCCTTGACCACACCCGGCATCGATCAGCCTCCCATTATATCTGTACCAAATGGAGATTCCCCCGGTACAGCTATTGAAGGCTTCACAAACTACGTGGTCAAAATAGATGTTAAATAATGGGGAGCCAGAGGACATCCCTGTCGCACCCCAAGGTGTACAAGGAATGGCTCCGACTCCCGGCGATGTAGTTTTACCCGGGCCCGCTCACCATCATGAAGGTCCTTAATGACCGTGAGCAGAGGGTCAGGACTCCAAAAGCACGAAGAACAATCCAGAGCCCAGGCCTACTGATGGTATCATACGCCTTGACCAGGTCAATAAAGCAGAGATGTAGGTCTTGTTGAAATTCCCTACACCTCTGCTGTAGCAGAAGGACAAAATATGGCATCTGTCCAGGACTGCCCTTGCCTGAAACCGCATTGGGGCTCCGCAAGCCTCTCCTCAGCGTGCCTGGTAAGGCGATGTTGAATAATCCTTGCCAGGACCTTTCCCGGCACACTGAGGAGTGAGATGCCCCTGTAGTTGTTACAGTCTGTGCGGTCCCCCTTAAAGAGGGGGACCACCAGGGCATCCTTCCAATCCTGCAGAACCCGTCAAGTGGTCCAGACTGTTGTTATGATGTCATATAGGGCAGTCTGTGCACAAACGCCACCCTCCCTCAGCATTTCGCTTGGGAGATCATCTCTGCCCGGTGCCTTTCCTGATCTCAGACTCCGGATCGCCTTCAGTACTTCCTCAACAGATGGCACCTCAGCCAGCCACTCACAGGGGGTGACTTCCTCCAATATTTGAGGCACCGCAGCCTCAGCAGGGTCATCCACACTTTGTGCCACGATGTTTTCCTGGCTGAGGGATTTCCCCTCCCCCAGGACCTCACAGAAATGCTCAGCAAATCTGCAAACCTGTTCCTGAGGGTCGGAGATTGGATCACCGTTTTTTCCCCTAATGATGGTAATAGGTGTGGCGCTGCAGGTTACTTTTTTTATGGATTTAAAGAGTTATTGGTGATCGCGGGCCACTGAGGCAGACTCCATCTTCTCAGCAACCTGCGACCACCACCCATCCTTGCAGCGCCTCACGGCTCTCCGAACCTCCGAACGAAGGCTGCGGCAAGCCGCCTCATTCTCTGACGTGGGATTCTGTAGCCGATGACAGTGGGCCTGTCGCTTTTTCTCAACTATCCTGAACACCTCCTCTGTCAGCCAGGGTCTCCGGGGAGGTCTGGACCGCGTACCCAAAGCAGCCATTGCAACTGCATGAGTCACAGTCCTAAACCTCGACCATTTATCCTCGACATCAGGAGGAGTGGCGGATGATGCCAACCCCAGCCGCAAGCGATGATGAAATTCTCGCTTGCAACTTTCATCAGATAACTGAGACCAGGCCACTTTAGGTTGTAATGGGGTCCTGGATGTACACCCACCACCGGAGCGGAAGAATGGCAGGTGCATCTTTGAGATCATAAGTCGATAGTCAGTGGGCAGATCAGCTCCACGGTAGGTCCTGGTGTCAAGGACATGGGCCCGCATCCACTGTTCCGTCACTATGTAGTCCAGCAGATGTTCTTGCTTGGACACGGCATGCATCCATGATGTTGTGTGGATGCGCCGATGCCAGAACAGCGTGTTGGTAATTACAAGCCCATGGGCTGCACAAAATCTAGGAACCTCCTACCGTTGTTATTAAGCTGATCTGGCCCATGCCCTCCAATCACTCCGGACCAGGTGCCAGCATCATGACCAACTCGGGCATTGAAGTCACCCAACAAGATGATTCTATCCCGAGGGGCCACTTTAGTCAGCACCTGTGACAGGTCATAGAAGGCATCTGACTCATCGGCCTTGCCTGCATGCCTCCACAGATGTTCGTCTTCGGTGGGGGCGTAAGTAACCACAACCACCACTCCTAGCCTCCGGTTGATGGGAAGGTGAGCCCAACGTAGCCTTGGGCTTACAGCTTCCCACACCTCACTGCCACGCTCCCACGCCCCCTTCATTCTTTTGTTCAAAAGAAGAGCCACATCCTGTTGTTTGGCAGTCTGCTGCCCCGAGTAGAGGACTGTCCACCCCTCATGGTGGCAAGAGCCAGAACTGGTCCACCGGACCTCCTGAATGCCACGTAGATCCAGGCGGTACCGGTCCAACTCCTGACAGAGGAGTGGCAGCCTCTCCTCCGCAGTGAGCATTCGAACATTCCACGTGGCCACACGAAGTGGCTTTTCATTGTTTCTGGAGGAGCCCCGAGGGTAGAGATTGAATCTCCTGGCTCCGCCAATTGGGGTTTGGCCAGGAGACGTCATAGATGCCTGTCCCCCCGGGGCCTCCGGCACAAGCTTATTAGTTACATTTTTTTCACGTGGTTTAGTGGTAATTAATTCAAGGTGGAGGGGTTACCAGCCCCTCGCACCCATCCAGAGCCCCTGTTTAACCACTGTGGTGGTCACAGACGCCATGAGGGGAGAGGGGCCAATCGGAATTGGCCCCTCCCCCCCACAGCACTGTCCACGACAGCGTTGCCGGTCCGGCACCACGAGGAAGAAGGGGGTTGTTTTGCCAGACCACCACCACCACCACACTCACACTCACTCACCACCACCACCACCACCACAACCACCACCACCACCACCACCACACTCACCACCACACTCACCACCACACGCACCATCGCATTCACCACCACACTCACCACCACACTCACCATCGCACTCACCACCACACTCACCATCGCACTCACCACCACACTCACCACCACACTCACCCCTTCACTCATCTTCCTCCTCCCGCTCGGACTCGCCTGACCTCTCACCCTCCATGCGATCTGTGGGGGGAGGGGGGGGGGTCAAGGTCATTGGGTCAATGCCACATTGGTCAATAACTTTATGGTCAAGGTCATTGGGTCAATGCCACTCGAATGGCGCCGGTCAAGGTCACTAGGGTGACTCTGTTAGGTCAAGGTCGTTCAGTCAATGTCACTGGTGACGTCTATAGGTCAAGGTCACTCGGTCAAGTTCAATGGAGTGATGTCGTTGGGTCAAGGCCATCGGTGACGTAGTTAGGTCAAGGTCACTCGGTCAAGGTAACGATACATAGTGAGTGAGTGGGTGGGTGGGTCAGTGAGTGAGTGATGAGTGGTGAGTGAGTGATGAGTGGTGAGTGAGTGAGTGGTGAGTGAGTGGTGAGTGAGTGAGTGGTGAGTGAGTGTATGAGTGGTGAGTGAGTGAGTGGGTGAGTGAATGGTGAGTGAGTGAGTGGTGAGTGAGTGAGTGCTGAGTGAGTGGTGAGTGAGTGTATGAGTGAGTGTATGAGTGAGTGAGTGGTGAGTGAGTGGTGAGTGAGTAGTGAGTGAGTCGTGAGTGAGTGGTGAGTGTATGAGTGGTGAGAGAGTGAGTGGTGAGTGAGTGGTGAGTGGGTGAGTGCTACCAGAGCGAATGTGGTTTAGTGATGCCAGCATGCGCAGCATGAAGGAGGCTGGCACCGTCACCGTGTTTCTCGTCTCCTCCAGCATCAAAGCATTCCTCTGCATCACCTTCACAACAACAACAACCACAACAACTATAACCACAACAACTATAACCACAACAACTATAACCACAACAACCACCACTACCACCGCAACTACAACAACCAATGCAACTATAACCACAACAACTACAACCACAACAACTATAACCACCACAACTACTATAACCACCACAACTATAACCACAACAACTATAACCACAACAACCACCTCTACCACCACAACAACAACAACCACAACAACTATAACCACAACTATAACCACAACAACAACAACCACAACAACTATAACCACAACAACAACAACAACCACAACAACTATAACCACAACTATAACCACAACAACTATAACCACAACTATAACCACAACAACTATAATCACAACTATTACCACAACAACCACCACTACCACCACAACTACAACAACCAATGCAACTATAACCACAACAACTATAACCACAACTACAACCACCACAACTACAATAACCACAACAACATAACCAAAACAACAACCACAACAACTATAACCACAACAACCACCACTACCACCACTACAACAACCACAACAACTATAACCACAACAACCACCACTACCACCACTACAACAACCACAACAACTACAACCACAACAACTTTTAACCACAACAACAACCACCACTACCACCAAACTACAACAATAACCACTGCAACTATAACAACAACCACAACAACTATAACCACAACTATAACCACAACAACTATAATCACAACTATTACCACAACAACCACCACTACCACCACAACTACAACAACCAATGCAACTATAACCACAACAACTATAACCACAACTACAACCACCACAACTACAATAACCACAACAACTATAACCAAAACAACAACCACAACAACTATAACCACAACAACCACCACTACCACCACTACAACAACCACAACAACAACTATAACCACAACAACCACCACTACCACCACAAACACCACTACCACCACAACTACAACAACAACCACTGCAACTATAACCACAACAACTACAACCACAACAACTTTTAACCACAACAACAACCACCACTACCACCACAACTACAACAATAACCACTGCAACTATAACAACAACCACAACAACTATAACCACAACAACTATAACTACAACCACAACCACCACTACAACCACAACTACAACAACAACCACTGCAACTATAACCACAACTATAACCACAACTATAACCACAACAACTATAACAACAACTATAACCACAACTATAACCACAACTATAACCACAACAACTATAACCACAACAACTATAACCACAACTATAACTACAACAACAACCACCACTACCACCACAACAACCACCACTACCACCACAACTACAACAAAAACCACTGCAACTATAACAACAACAACCACAACAACTATAACCACAACTATAACCACAACAACCACCACTACCACCACAACTACAACAAAAACCACTGCAACTATAACAACAACAACCACAACAACTATAACCACAACTATAACCACAACAACTATAATCACAACTATTACCACCACAACTACAACAACCAATGCAACTATAACCACAACAACTATAACCACAACTACAACCACCACAACTACAATAACCACAACAACAACCACAACAACTATAACCACAACTACCACCACAACTACAACAACCACAATAACAACAACCACAACTATAACCACAACAACCACCACTACCACCACAACTACAACAACAACCACTACCACCACAACAACCACCACTACCACCACAACTACAACAATAACCACTGCAACTATAACAACAACAACCACAACAACTATAACCACAACAACTATAACCACAACAACCACCACTACCACCACAACTAGAAGAACCACTGCAACTATAACAACAACTATAACCACAACAACTATTACCACAACTACAACCACAACAACAACCACTACAACAACCACAACAAGCACAACAATCACAAATGAAAGCACCACAAACACCACCACCACCCCTATAGCTACCACCACCCCTATAGCCGCCACCACCACTATAGCCACCACCACCCCTATAGCCACCACCACCAGCCCTATAGCCACCACCACTACCCCTATAGCCACCACCACCACCCCTAGAGCCACCACCACCACCACTATAGCCATATATAACCACAACAACTATAACCACAGCAACAACCACAACAACTATAACCACAACAACCACCACAACTACAACAACCACCACAACAACCAACACAACTACAATAACCACCACAACTACAACCACAACAACCACAACAACTATAACCACAACAACCACAACAACAATAGCCACAACAACTATAACCACAGCAACTATAACCACAGCAACTATAACGACAACAACCACCACCACAACAACTATAACCACAATAACCACCACTACCACCACAACTACAACAACCACAACAACTATAACCACAACAACCACCACAACAACTATAACCACAACTACAACCACAACAACTATAATCACAAGAACCACCACAACTACAACCACAACAACTATAACCACAACTACAACCACAACAACTATAATCACAACAACCACCACAACTATAACCACAACAACCACCACAACTACAATAACTACGACAACAACTACAACAATCACAACAACAACCACTGCAACTATAGCAACAACCACAACAACTATCACAACTATAACCACAACAACCACCACAACAACTATAACCACAACAACGACAACAAGCACAACAATCACAAATGAAAGCACCACAAACACCACCACCCCTATAGCCACCACCACCACCCCTATAGCCACCACCACTATAGCCACCACCACCCCTATTAGCCACAACCACCACCCCTATAACCACCACCACCCTATAGCCACCACCACCACCAACCCTAAAGCCACCACCACTATAGCCACCACCACCACCACCACCCCTATAGCCACAACCACCACCCCTATAACCACCACCACCACCCCTATAGCCACAACCACCACCACTATAGCCACCACCCCTATAGCCACCACCACCACCCCTATAGCCACAACCACCACCACTATAGCCACCACCCCTATAGCCACCACCACCACCCCTATAGCCACAACCACCACCCCTATAGCCACAACCACCACCCCTATAGCCACAACCACCACCCCTATAGCCACCACCACCACCCTATAGCCACCACCACCACCACCCCTATAGCCACCACCACCACCCCTATAGCCACCACCACCACCCCTATAGCCACCACCACCACCCCTATAGCCACCACCACCACCCCCTATAGCCACCACCACCACCCCTATAGCCACCACCACCACCCCTATAGCCACCACCACCACCCCTATAGCCACAACCACCACCACCCCTATAGCCACTACCACCACCCCTATAACCACCACCACCCCTATAGCCACCATCACCACCCCTATAGCCATCACCACCACCCCTATAGCCACCACCACCACCACCCCTATAGCCACCACCACCACCCCTATAGCCACCACCACCACCCCTATAGCCACCACCACCACCCCTATAGCCACCACCACCCCCCTACCACCACCACCACCACCACCCCTATAACCACCACCACCACCCCTATAGCCACCACCACCTCTATAGCCACCACCACCGTCCTATAGCCACCACCACCACCCCTATAGCCACCACCACCCTATAGCCACCACCACCACCCCTATAGCCACCACCACCACCACCCCTATAGCCACCACCACCACAACCCCTATAGCCACCACCACCACCCCTCTAGCCACCACCACCACCCCTATAGCCACCACCACCACCCCTATAGCCACCACCACCACCCCTATAGCCACCACCACCCCTATAGCCACCACCCCTATAGCCACCACCCCTATAGCCACCACCACCACCCCTATAGCCACCACCACCACCACCCCTATAGCCACCACCACCACCACCCCTATAGCCACCACCACCACCACCACCACTATAGCCACCACCACCACCACCCCTATAGCCACCACCACCACTCCTATAGCCACCACCACCCCTATAGCCACCACCACCACTCCTATAGCCGCCACCACCACACCCTATAGCCACCACCACCACTCCTATAGCCACCACCACCACCCCTATAGCCACCACCACCACCACCCTATAGCCACCACCACCACCCCTATAGCCACCACCACCACCACCCCTCTAGCCACCACCCCTATAGCCACCACCCCTATAGCCACCACCACCACCACCCCTATAGCCACCACCCCTATAGCCACCACCACCACCCCTATAGCCACCACCACCACCCCTATAGCCACCACCACCACTATAGCCACCACCACCCCTATAGCCACCACCACCACCCCTATAGCCACCACCACCCCGATAGCCACCACCCCCACCCCTATAGCGACCACCACCACCCCTATAGCCACCACCACCACCACCACTTGCCCAGTGAGTGGTGAGTGACTGAGTTGGTGAGTGAGTGGTGAGTGGTGAGTGGTGAGTGAGTGGTGAGTGGTTGGTGAGTGAGTGAGTGGGTGAGTGAGTGGGTGAGTGGTGAGTGAGTGGTGAGTGAGTGAGTGAGTAGGTGAGTAGGTGAGTGAGTGGGTGAGTGAGTGGTGAGTGAGTTGGTGAGTGAGTGAGTGGTGAGTGAGTGAGTGGTGAGTGAGTGAGTAGTGAGTGAGTGACTGAGTGAGTAGGTGAGTGAGTAGGTGAGTGAGTGGGTGAGTGAGTGGGTGAGTGACTGAGTGAGTGAGTGAGTAGGTGAGTGAGTGGGTGAGTGGTGAGTTGGTGGGTGAGTCCAGAATGGTGAAGTATGTTCACCTCGGATGCGAGTCTCTGGTCGAACTCGGCCTTGCCGCGCATCGGAGACCACAGCTTGATGTCATAGTCTATGCCGGACGTAGCCAGCACTACACACACAGACACACACACACAGACACACACACACACAGACACACACACACACACAGACACACAGACACACACACAGACACACACACAGACACACACACAGATACAAACACAGACACACACAGACACACACACAGACACACACACAGACACACACACAGACACACACACAGACACACACACAGACACACACACAGACACACACACAGACACACACACAGACACACACACAGACACACACACAGACACAGACACACACAGACACACACAGACACAGACACACACACACAGACACACAGACACACACACAGACACACACAGACACACACACAGACACATACACAGACACACACAGACACACACAGACACAGACACACACACAATGTGAGTGACCAAGCGAGTGAGTGAATGACTGAATGAGTGGCTGAGTGAGTGGCTGAGTCGGTGGGTGAGTGGCTGAGCGAGTGAATGACTGAATGAGTGGCTGAGTGAGTGACTGACTGAGTGAGTGAGTCGGTGAGTGAGTTGGTGAGTGAGTCGGTGAGTGAGTTGGTGAGGGAGTGAGTTGGTGAGGGAGTTGGTGAGTGAGTTGGTGAGGGAGTGAGTTGGTGAGTGAGTTGGTGAGTGAGTTGGTGAGTGAGTTGGTGAGTGAGTTGGTGAGTTTGTGAGTGAGTGACTGAGTGAGTGAGTTGGTGAGTAAGTCGGTGAGTGAGTGAGTAGGTGAGTGGTGAGTGAGTTGGTGAGTGAGTGAGTTGGTGAGGGAGTTGGTGAGTGAGTTGGTGAGTGAGTGAGTTGGTGAGTTTGTGAGTGAGTGACTGAGTGAGTTGGTGAGTGAGTTGGTGAGTGAGTTGGTGAGTTGGTGAGTGAGTGAGTTGGTGAGTGAGTTGGTGAGTGAGTTGGTGAGTTGGTGAGTGAGTGAGTGAGTTGGTGAGTGAGTTGGTGAGTAAGTGAGTTGGTGAGTGGTGAGTGAGTTGGTGAGTGAGTGAGTTTGTGAGTGAGTGACTGAGTGAGTTGGTGAGTGAGTTGGTGAGTTGGTGAGTGCTCACGTGGCTCGTAGGGGTGAGGCTGGACACAGTTGACCACGTGGTTGTCGGCCTCGAGCAGCATGAGGAGCCGTGCCGAGTCGCGGTGCCACACAAAGACGTGCCCACAGTCGGAGCCACTGAGCACCAAGCCCTCACCCCAGAACACCGCCTCCTTGATCTGGTGAGGAGCACGGGGTGAGCGACACGCTGAGTGTGTCTGTGTGTGTCTCTGTGTGTGTGTCTGTGTGTGTGTGTCTGTGTGTGTGTCTGTGTGTGTTGTGTGTGTGTCTGTGTGTGTGTCTGGGTGTGTGTGTCTGTGGTCCGGCAAAACAACCCCCTACCTCCTCGCGGTGCCGGACGGGCAACTCTGTCGTGGACAGTGCTGTGGGGGGAGATCCAATTTTGATTGGCTCCTCCCCTCATGGCATATGTGTCCACCACAGGGGCTAAACGGGGGCTCTGGACGGGTGCGAGGGGCTGGTAACCCCTCCACCTTCAATTAATTACCACAAACCACGAGTTAAACTGAAATATGTAACTAATAAGCTTGTGCCGGAGGCCCTGGGGGGCCAGGCGTCTATGACGTCTCCTGGCCAAACCCCAATTGGCGGAGCCAGGAGATTGAATATCTACCCTCGGGGCTCCTCCAGAAACAACGAAAAGCCACTACGGGTGGCCACGTGGAATGTTCGAACGCTCACTGCGGAGGAGAGGCTGCCACTCCTCTGTCGGGAGCTGGACCGGTACCGCCTGGATCTATGTGGCATTCAGGAGGTCCGGTGGACCGGCTCTGGCTCCTGCCACCATGAGGGGTGGACAGTCCTCTACTCGGGGCAGCAGACTGCCAAACAACAGGGTGGGTCTTCTTTTGAACAAAAGAATGAAGGGGGCGTGGGAGCGTGGCGGTGAGGTGTGGGAAGCTGTAAGCCCCAGGCTACTTTGGGCTCGCCTTCCCATCAACCGGAGGCGAGGAATGGTGGTCGTGGTTACTTATGCCCCCACCGAAGATGAACATCCGTGGAGGGATGCAGGCAAAGCCGATGAGTCAGATGCCTTCTATGACCTCCTGTCACAGGTGCTGGCTAAAGTGGCCCCTCGGGATAGAGTCATCATGTTGGGTGACTTCAATGCCCGAGTTGGTCATGACTGGCACCTGGTCTGGAGTGATTGGAGGGCATGGGCCAGATCAGCTCAATAACAACGGTAGGAGGCTGCTAGATTTTTGTGCAGCCCATGGGCTTGTAATTACCAACACGCTGTTCCGGCATCGGCGCATCCACACAACATCATGGATGCATGCCGGGTCCAAGCAAGAACATCTGCTGGACTACATAGTGACGGACCAGCGATGCGAGCCCATGTCCTTGACACCAGGACCTACCGTGGAGCTGATCTGCCCTCTGACCATCGACTAGTCATCTGTAAGATGCGCCTGCCATTCTTCCACTCCGGTGGTGGGTGTACACCCAGGACCCCATTCCAACCTAAAGTGGCCTGGTCTCAGTTATCTGATGAAAGTTGCAAGCGAGAATTTCATCATCGCTTGCGGCTGGGATTGGCATCGTCCCCGACTCCTCCTGATGTCGAGGGTAAATGGGCGAGGTTTAGGACTGTGACTCATGCAGCTGCAATGGCTGCTTTGGGTACGCGGTCCAGACCTCCCCAGAGACCCTGGCTGACAGAGGAGGTGTTCAGGATGGTTGAGAAAAAGCGACAGGCCCACTGTCATCGGCTACAGAATCCCACGTCAGAGAATGAGGAGGCTTACCGCAGCCTTCGCTCGGAGGTTCGGAGAGCCGTGAGGCGCTGCAAGGATGGGTGGTGGTCGCGGGTTGCTGAGGAGATGGAGTCTGCCTCAGTGGCGTGATCACAACTCCATCAAAAGTAACCTGCAGCGCCACACCTATTACCATCATTAGGGGAAAAAACGGTGATCCAATCTCCGACCCCCAGGAACAGGTTTGCAGATTTGCTGAGCATTTCTGTGAGGTCTTGGGGGAGGGAAAATCCCTCAGCCAGGAAAACATCGTGGCACAAAGTGAGGATGACCCTGCTGAGGCTGCGGTGCCTCAAATATTGGAAGAAGTCACCCCCTGTGAGTGGCTGGCTGAGGTGCCATCTGTTGAGGAAGTACTGAAGGCGATCCGGAGTCTGAGACCAGGAAAGGCAGCGGGCAGAGATGATCTCCCAAGCGAAATGCTGAGGGAGGGTGGCGTTTGTGCACAGACTGCCCTATATGACATCATAACAACAGTCTGGACCACTGGACGGGTTCCGCAGGATTGGAAGGATGCCCTGGTGGTCCCCCTTTTAAGAAGGGGGACCGCACAGACTGTAACAACTACAGGGGCATCTCACTCCTCAGTGTGCCGGGAAAGGTCCTGGCAAGGATTATTCACATCGCCTTGCCAGGCACGCTGAGGAGAGGCTTGCGGAGCCCCAATGCGGTTTCAGGAAAGGGCGGTCCTGCACAGATGCCATATTTTCTGTCCGTCTGCTACAGCAGAGGTGTAGGGAATTCCAACAAGACCTACATCTCTGCTTTATTGACCTGGTCAAGGCCTATGATACCATCAGTAGGCCTGGGCTCTGGGTTGTTCTTCGTGCTTTTGGAGTACCTGACCCTCTGCTCACGATCATTAAGGACCTTCATGATGGTGAGCGGGCCCGGGTAAAACTACGTGGCCGGGAGTCAGAGCCATTCCCTGTACACCTTGGGGTGCGACAGGGATGTCCTCTGGCTCCCACATTATTTAACATCTATTTTGACCACGTAGTTCGTGAAGCCTTCAATAGCTGTACCGGGGGAATCTCCATATGGTACAGATATAATGGGAGGCTGATCGATGCCCGGGTGCGGTCAAGGGATGGCTCCCTATTGCTCAACCACGTTATGTATGCTGATGATTTGGTAATAGCTGCTCATTCAGAGAGGAGTTGGAGACGCTGCTGCTGAGACTGGAGCGTGCCACTAAGAGGTGGGGCCTTACCATCAGCCCCACCAAAACTAAGCACCTGCCTGGGTATTTTGTACCATCGGACACTCCACCCCCACAACTCCCAATCGGTGATGGGGCAGTTGTGGAGAGAGTGGAGAGTTTCCCATACCTGGGCAGTGTGCTTATGACTGGCTCCAGTTTAACAGCAGAGGTCTCACTCCGAATCAGTCGAGCGGCAATATTTTCATCGGTTGCGTAACGCTGTGTGGAAGCTACCTGGTCTGTCGCTCCGCACTAAGCTTCAGGTCTTCTCGGCCACGGTCATTCCCTCCCTTCTCTACGCTTGCGAAACGTGGACCCCCCTAATGGAACATCTTCGCCGGTTAGAAACATTTAGGCTGGCCTGCCTACGATCCATCCTGGGTTTAACCAGACTGGATTGTGTGAGGAGCTCACAAATCCTTGAAAGATCTGGGCAGGGTCCCATCGGTGAGCTCCTCCGGCAGGCAAGGCTGCGATGGCTGGGTCATGTAGCCCGCATGCCCAGCCACCGCATGCCGAAACAGCTTTTGTTTGGCCGGATTGAGGGGGCTAAGCGGGCGCGGCAGGCTAGAGAAGAGATGGAGTGATGTGGTACAGGAGGACGTGGAGCTGAGTGGACTTGCCGATGACTGGTACCAGCGGTGTCAAGATCGGCCTCTGTGGAGGAGGCTCGTGAAGGATGCTACTGGGCAGTTGGAGGCAGTCGCCCTCCAACAACAACGGAGGGCGGAGGAGCGACGCTCAGAACAACGAGCGGAGCGCCGGGTGGCTAAAGCACAGCAGGTTGGCACAGTAGGGGGCACAGGTGGTGCATCAGCCAGTCATCTCAGTCAGTCATCTCAGTCAGTCGACCCGTGGCACCTGGGTCTGCCCCGTGACCTCCTGCCAGCGGGCGTTCGACACTTCACGTGGCCTCAACGTGCAAATGGCATGGCACAGCGTCGGTGGTGACGTCACCGCCACTTAGTGGCAGAATGGCGGTGTTGTTGTTGCGTGTGTGTTTGTCTGTGTGTGTGTCTGTGTGTGTGTGTGTCTTTGTGTGTGTGTGTCTCTGTGTGTCTCTGTGTGTGTCTGTCTGTGTGTGTGTGTGTCTGTATGTGTGTGTGTGTGTGTCCGCAAAACAACCCCCTACCTCCTCGCGGTGCCGGACGGGCAACTCTGTCGTGGACAGTGCTATGGGGGGAGATCCAACTTTGATTGGCTCCTCCCCTCATGGCATATGTGTTCACCACAGGGGCTGAACGGGGGCTCTGGACGGGTGCGAGGGGCTGGTAACCCCTCCACCTTCAATTAATTACCACGAAACCACGAGTTAAACTGAAATATGTAACTAATAAGCTTATGCCGGAGGCCCCTGGGGGGCCAGGCGTCTATGACGTCTCCTGGCCAAACCCCAATTGGCGGGGCCAAGAGATTGAATATCTACCCTCGGGGGCTCCTCCAGAAACAAGGAAAAGCCACTACGGGTGGCCACGTGGAATGTTCGAACGCTCACTGTGGAGGAGAGGCTGCCACTCCTCTGTCGGGAGCTGAACCGGTACCGCCTGGATCTATGCGGCATTCAGGAGGTCCGGTGGACCGGCTCTGGCTCCTGCCACCATGAGGGGTGGATAGTCCTCTACTCGGGGCAGCAGACTGCCAAACCACACGGTGTGGCTCTTCTTTTGAACAAAATAATGAAGGGGACATGGGAGCGTGGCGGTGAGGTGTGGGAAGCTGTAAGCCCCAGGCTACTTTGGGCTCGCCTTCCCATCAACCGGAGGCGAGGAATGGTGGTCGTGGTTACTTATGCCCCCACCGAAGATGAACATCCGTGGAGGGATGCAGGCAAAGCCGATGAGTCAGATGCCTTCTATGAGACCTCCTGTCACAAGTGCTGGCTAAAGTGGCCCCTCGGGATAGAGTCGTCATGTTGGGTGACTTCAATGCCCGAGTTGGTCATGATACTGGCACCTGGTCTGGAGTGATTGGAGGGCATGGGCCAGATCAGCTCAATAACAACGGTAGGAGGCTGCTAGATTTTTGTGCAGCCCATGGGCTTGTAATTACCAACACGCTGTTCCGGCATCGGCGCATCCACACAACATCATGGATGCATGCCGGGTCCAAGCAAGAACATCTGCTGGACTACATAGTGATGGACCAGCGGATGCGAGCCCATGTCCTTGACACCAGGACCTACCGTGGAGCTGATCTGCCCCTCTGACCATCGACTAGTCATCTGTAAGATGCGCCTGCCATTCTTCCACTCCGGTGGTGGGTGTACACCCAGGACCCCATTCCGACCTAAAGTGGCCTGGTCTCAGTTATCTGATGAAAGTTGCAAGCGAGAATTTCATCATCGCTTGCGGCTGGGATTGGCATCGTCCCCGACTCCTCCTGATGTCGAGGGTAAATGGGCGAGGTTTAGGACTGTGACTCATGCAGCTGCAATGGCTGCTTTGGGTACGCGGTCCAGAACCTCCCCAGAGACCCTGGCTGACAGAGGAGGTGTTCAGGATGGTTGGGAAAAGCGACAGGCCCACTGTCATCGGCTACAGAATCCCACGTCAGAGAATGAGGAGGCTTACCAGCAGCCTTCGCTCGGAGGTTCGGAGAGCCGTGAGGCACTGCAAGGATGGGTGGTGGTCGCGGGTTGCTGAGGAGATGGAGTCTGCCTCAGTGGCCCGTGATCACACCTATTACCATCATTAGGGGAAAAAACGGTGATCCAATCTCCGACCCCAGGAACAGGTTTGCAGATTTGCTGAGCATTTCTGTGAGGTCCTGGGGGAGGAAAATCCCTCAGCCAGGAAAACATCGTGGCACAAAGTGAGGATGACCCTGCTGAGCTGCGGTGCCTCAAAATATTGGAAGAAGTCACCCCCTGTGAGTGGCTGGCTGAGGTGCCATCTGTTGAGGAAGTACTGAAGACAATCCGGAGTCTGAGACCAGGAAAGGCAGCGGGCAGAGATGATCTCCCAAGCGAAATGCTGAGGGAGGGTGGCGTTTGTGCACAGACTGCCCTATATGACATCATAACAACAGTCTGGACCACTGGACGGGTTCCGCAGGATTGGAAGGATGCCCTGGTGGTCCCCTTTTAAGAAGGGGGACCGCACAGACTGTAACAACTACAGGGGCATCTCACTCCTCAGTGTGCCGGGAAAGGTCCTGGCAAGGATTATTCAACATCGCCTTGCCAGGCACGCTGAGGAGAGGCTTGCGGAGCCCCAATGCGGTTTCAGGAAAGGGCGGTCCTGCACAGATGCCATATTTTCTGTCCGTCTGCTACAGCAGAGGTGTAGGGAATTCCAACAAGACCTACATCTCTGCTTTATTGACCTGGTCAAGGCCTATGATACCATCAGTAGGCCTGGGCTCTGGGTTGTTCTTCGTGCTTTTGGAGTCCCTGACCCTCTGCTCACGATCATTAAGGACCTTCATGATGGTGAGCGGGCCCGGGTAAAACTACGTGGCCGGGAGTCAGAGCCATTCCCTGTACACCTTGGGGTGCGACAGGGATGTCCTCTGGCTCCCACATTATTTAACATCTATTTTGACCACGTAGTTCGTGAAGCCTTCAATAGCTGTACCGGGGAATCTCCATGGTACAGATATAATGGGAGGCTGATCGATGCCCGGGTGCGGTCAAGGGATGGCTCCCTATTGCTCAACCACGTTATGTATGCTGATGATTTGGTAATAGCTGCTCATTCAGAGGAGGAGTTGGAGACGCTGCTGCTGAGACTGGAGCGTGCCACTAAGAGGTGGGCCTTACCATCAGCCCCACCAAAACTAAGCACCTGCCTGGGTATTTTGTACCATCGGACACTCCACCCCCACAACTCCCAATCGGTGATGGGGCAGTTGTGGAGAGAGTGGAGAGTTTCCCATACCTGGGCAGTGTGCTTATGACTGGCTCCAGTTTAACAGCAGAGGTCTCACTCCGAATCAGTCGAGCGGCAATATCTTTTCATCGGTTGCGTAACGCTGTGTGGCTAGAGAACAGATGGAGTGATGTGGTACAGGAGGACGTGGAGCTGAGTGGACTTGCCGATGACTGGTACCAGCGGTGTCAAGATCGGCCTCTGTGGAGGAGGCTCGTGAAGGACGCTATTGGGCAGTTGGAGGCAGTCGCCTCCAACAACAACGGAGGGCGGAGTAGCGACGCTCACAACAACGAGCGGAGCGCCGGGTGGCTAAAGCACAGGCAGGTTGGCACAGTAGGGGGCACAGGTGGTGCATCAGCCAGTCATCTCAGTCATCTCAGTCAGTCGACCCCGTGGCACCTGCTGGGTCTGCCCCGTGACCTCCTGCCAGCGGGCGTTCGACACTTCACGTGGCCTCAGGGTGCACATAGCCTGGCACAAGCGTCGTGGTGACGTCACCGCCACTTAGTGGCAAATGGTGGTTGTTGTTGTTGTTGTCTCTGTGTGTCTCTGTGTGTGTGTCTGTGCGTCTGTGTGTCTCTGTGTCTCTGTGTGTGTGTGTCTCTGTGTGTGTGTGTCTCTGTGTGTGTGTCTCTGTGTGTGTGTCTCTGTGTGTGTCTCTGTGTGTGTGTGTGTCTCTGTGTGTGTGTCTCTGTGTGTGTCTGTGTGTCCTCTCTGTGTGGTCTCTGTGTGTCTGTGTCTCTCTGTGTGTCTGTAGTGTCTCTGTGTGTGCTCACCATGGTACGTGAGTTACGATGTCCACTGTAAGTGACGCTGGGTCGAGGTCTCACCACGCCGTGAGTCTCCAACTCCTCCGCCTGCTGTTTCTTCTCCTTGCGGCGGCGAAACACTTCCTGGATGCGTGCTGCAGCTGAGCGCCTGGAGACACAACCACACCACACAGCCACCGGCACAACACACCACAGTCACACCACACCACACAGCCACCATCACGCCACACCACACAGCCACCGGCACAACACACCACACAGCCACCGGCACACCACACCACACAGCCACCGTCACACCACACCACACAGCCACCGGCACACCACACCACACAGCCACCGTCACACCACACCACACAACCACCGGCACACCACCCCACACAAGCCACCGGCACACCACACCACACAGCCACCTGCACACCACACCACACAGCCACCGTCACACCACACCACACAGCCACCGGCACAACACACCACACAGCCACCGTCACACCACACCACACAGCCACCGGCACACCACACCACACAGCCACTGTCACACCATACCACACAGCCACCACCACAACACACCACACAGCCACCGGCACACCACACCACACAGCCACCGTCACACCACACCACAGTCACACCACACCACACAGCCACCGTCACAACACACCACACAGCCACCGGCACACCACACCACACAACCACCGGCACACCACACCACAGTCACAACACACCACACAGCCACCGTCACACCACACCACACAGCCACCGGCACAACACACCACACAGCCACCGGCACAACACACCACACAGCCACCGGCACAACACACCACACAGCCACCGGCACACCACACCACACAAGCCACCGGCACACCACACTACACAGCCACCGTCACACCACACCACACAGCCACCGGCACAACACACCACACAGCCACCGGCACAACACCACACAGCCACCGGCACACCACACCACACAGCCACCGGCACAACACACCACACAGCCACCGGCACAACACACCACACAGCCACCGGCACAACACACCACACAGCCACCGGCTCACTCACCCTCTCACTGGCTCGCTAACATCACTTTCTCACTGGCTCGCTCACTCACTCACTCACTGGCTCGCTCACTCACTCTCTTACTGGCTCACATCACTCACTCTCTCAATGGCTCGGTCACTCACTCACTGGCTCGCTCGCTCACTCACTCTCTCACTGGCTCGCTCGCTCGCTCACATCACTGGCTCGCTCGCTCACTCACCCTCTCTCTCACTGGCTCACTCACTGACTCACTCACTGGCTCGTTCACTCACTCACTCTTTCACTAGCTCGCTCACTCACTCGCTCACTCTCTCTCTCACTGGCTCACTCACTCACTCAATCGCTCACTCACTCACTGGCTCGCTCACCTCACTCACTCACTGGCTCGCTCACTCTCTCTCTCTCACTGGCTCGCTCACATCTCTCTCTCACTGGGTCGCTCGCTCACTCACTCACTGGCTCGTTCACTCACTCACTCTTTCACCAGCTCGCTCACGTCACTCACTCTCTCACTGGCTCGCTCACTCACTCACTCACTGCTCGCTCACTCCCTCTCTCTCACTGGTTCGCTCACTCTCTCTCTCACTGGGTTGCTCGCTCACTCACTCACTCACTGGCTCGTTCACTCACTCACTCTTTCACCAGCTCGCTCACTCACCTCACTCACTCTCGTCACTGGCTCACTCGCTCACTCTCTCTCACTGGCTCGCTCACTCTCTCTCTCACTCACTCGATGGCTCACTCACTCGCTCACTCTCTCTCACTGGCTCACCTCACTCACTCACTGGCTCGCTCACTCACTCACTCACTGGCTCGTCCACTCACTCTTTCACCAGCTCGCTCACTCACTCACTCTCTCACTGGCTCACTCGCTCACTCTCTCTCACTGGCTCGCTCACAGTCACTCACTCACTCTCTCACTGGCTCACTCGCTCACTCTCTCTCACTGGCTCGCTCACTCGCTCTCTCTCACTCACTCGATGGCTCACTCACTCGCTCACTCTCTCTCACTGGCTCACTCACTCACTCACTGGCTCGCTCACTCACTCACTGGCTCGTTCACTCACTCTTTCACCAGCTCGCTCACTCACTCAAGCTCTCACTGGCTCACTCGCTCACTCTCTCTCACTGGCTCGCTCACTCACTCACTCTCTCACTGGCTCACTCGCTCACTCTCTCTCACTGGCTCGCTCACTCTCTCTCTCACTCACTCGATGGCTCACTCACTCGCTCACTCTCTCTCACTGGCTCACTCACTGGCTCGCTCGCTCACTCACTCACTCACTCTCTCTCTCTCTCGCTCTCCTCACTCACTCGATGGCTCACTCACTTGCTCACTCTCTCTCACTGGCTCACTCACTCACTCGATGGCTCACTCACTCGCTCACTCACTCTCTCTCGCTCTCTCACTTACTCGCTGGCTCACTCAATTAATCACTGACTCGCTCGGATATCAATCACTGACTCGCTCGGATATCAATCACTGGTGGTGGTGGTGATAATGGTGGTGATGGTGGTGGTGGTGATGATGGTGGTGGTGATGATGGTGGTGATGGTGGTGGTGATGATGGTGGTGGTGTTGGTGGTGGTGGTGATGGTGGTGATGATGGTGGTGGTGATGGTGGTGATGATGGTAATGATAGTGATCACTGCAATAATCAAAAACACGTTGTGTTACACACACACACGCTGTGTTACACACACACACTGTGTTACACACACACACACACGATGTGTTACGCACACACTGTGTTACACACACTGTGTTACACACACACACACACGATGTGTTACACACACACTGTGTTACACACACACTGTGTTACACACATGCTGTGTTACACACACGCTGTGTTACACACACACACGCGCTGTGTTACACACAGACACACGATGTGTTACACACACACGCGCTGTGTTACACACACACACACACACTGTGTTACACACACACGCGCTGTGTTACACGCACACACACGCGCTGTGTTACACAAACACGTTGTGTTACACACACACACGCTGTGTTACACACACACTGTGTTACACACACACACGCGCTGTGTTAGATACACACACGCTGTGTTATACACACACACGCGCTGTTACACACACACACACACTGTGTTACACACACACTATGTTACACACACAAGCGCTGTGTTACACACACACACACGCGCTGTGTCACGCACACACACACACGCTGTGTTACACACACACGCTGTGTAACACACACACACACGGTGTGTCTCACACACACACACGCACGCTGTGTTACACACACACACGCGCTGTGTTACACATACACACACGCTGTGTTACACACACACACATGCTGTGTTACACACACACTGTGTTACACACACACACGCTGTGTTACACACACGCTGTGTTACACACACACACGCGCTGTGTTACACACACACGCGCTGTGTTACGCACACACACTGTGTTACACACACACACGCTGTTACACACACACACACGGTGTGTTACACACACACGCTGTGTTACACACACACACACACGCTGTGTTACACACACACACGCTATGTTACACACACACTGTGTTACACACACACACACGCGCTGTGTTATACACACACACACGAGCTGTGTTACACACACACACGCGCTGTGTTACACACACACATGCGCTGTGTTACACACACACGCTGTGTTACACACACACACACGCTGTGTTACACACACACACACACGCTGTGTTACACACACACGCTGTGTTACACACAGACACGCGCTGTGTTACGCACACACACATGCTGTGTTAAGCACACACACACGATGTGTTACACAAACACACGGTGTGTTACACACACACACACACTGTGTTACACACACACACACACGCTGTGTTAAACACACACTGTGTTACACACACACACACGCTGTGTTACACACACACGCTGTTACACACACGCGCTGTGTTACACACACACGCGCTGTGTTACGCACACACACATGCTGTGTTAAGCACACACACACGATGTGTTACACAAACACACGGTGTGTTACACACACACACACACTGTGTTACACACACTGTGTTACACACACACGCTGTGTTACACACACACTGTGTTACACACACACACGCTGTGTTACACACACACGCTGTGTTACACACACACTGTGTTACACACACACGCTGTGTTACACACACGCGCTGTGTTACGCACACAAACGCTGTGTTACACACACACGCTGTGTTACACACAGACACACGATGTGTTACACACACACGCTGTGTTACACACACACACGCTGTGATACACACACACACACGCTGTGTTACATAAACACGCTGTGTTACACACACACGCTGTGTTACACACAAACACGCTGTGTTATATACACACACACACACGCTGTGTTATATACACACACACACGCTGTGTTACACACGCACACACGCTGTGTTACACACACACAAACACGCTATGTTACACACACACACGCTGTTACACACAAACGCTGTGTTACACACACACTGTGTTACACGCGCGATGTGTTACACACACACACACACGCTGTGTTACACATGCACACATGCTGTGTTACACACACACGCGCGGTGTTACACAGACACACGTGCTGTGTCACGCACACACGCTGTGTTACACACACACACACACGCTGTGTTACATACACACAAGCTGTGTTACACACACACACTGTGTTACACACACACGCTGTGTTACACACACACACACGTGCTGTGTTATACACACACGCTGTGTTACACACACACACACACGCTGTGTTACACACACACACACACGCTGTGTTACACACACACACACGCTGTGTTACACACACACACACACACGCTGTGTTACACACACACGCTGTGTAACACACACACACACACGGTGTGTCTCACACACACACACACACGCACGCTGTGTTACACACACACACGCGCTGTGTTACACATACACACACACGCTGTGTTACACACACACACATGCTGTGTTACACACACACTGTGTTACACACACACACGCTGTGTTACACACACGCTGTGTTACACACACACACGCGCTGTGTTACATACACACACGCGCTGTGTTACACACACACACGCTGTTACACACACACACACGGTGTGTTACACACACACGCTGTGTTACACACACACACACACGCTGTGTTACACACACACACGCTATGTTACACACACACTGTGTTACACACACACGCTGTGTTACACACACACACACACACGCTGTGTTACACACACACACACGCTGTGTTACACACACACACACGCTGTGTTACACACACACACACGCTGTGTTACATACACACACACGCTGTTACACACACACACGCTGTGCTACACACACACACGCGCTGTGTTACACACACACGCGGTTTAACACACACACAAACGCGCTGTGTTACACACACAATCGCGCTGTGTTGCACACACACGCGCTGTGTTACACACACACACACACACTGTGTTACACACACACACACGCTGTGTTACACACACACACACACGCTGTGTTACACACACACACACACGCTGTATTACACACACGCACACACGCTGTGTTACGCACACACACACACACACGCTGTGTTACACACACACACTGTGTTACACACACACGCTGTGTTACACACACACACTGTGTTACACACACACACACGCTGTGTTACGCACACACACACGCTGTGTTACACACACACACACACGCTGTGTTACACACACACACACACGCTGTGTTACACACACACACACGCTGTGTTACACACACGCTGTCTTACACACACACACACACGCTGTGTTATACACACGCTGTGTTACACACACACACATGCTGTGTTACATACGCACGCTGTTACACACACACGCTGTGTTACACACACACATGCTGTGTTGCACACACACACACACACACGCTGTGTTTACACACACACACGCTGTTTTACACACACACACACACACACACGCGCTGTGTTACACACACACTGTGTTACACACACACTCGCTGTATTATGCACACACACACGACGTGTTACACAAACACACAGTGTGTTACACACACACGTTGTGTTACACACACACACACTGTGTTACACACACACACTGTGTTACACACACACACACGCCGTGTTAAACACACACTGTGTTACACACACACGCTGTGTTTCCCACACACACGCTGTTACACACACACACACACGCTGTGTTAAACACACACACACGCTGTGTTACACACACACACACACGCGCTGTGCTACGCACACACACGCTGTGTTAAGCACACACACATGCTGTGTTACTCACACACGCTGTGTTACTCACACACGCTGTGTTACACACACACACGCTGTGTTACACACACACACACGCTGTGTTACACACACGCACACGCTGTGTTACACACACACACGCGCTGTGCTACGCACACACACGCTGTGTTAAGCAAACACACATGCTGTGTTACACAAACACGCTGTGTTACTCACACGCTGTGTTACACACACACACGCTGTGTTACACACACACACACGCTGTGTTACACACACACACACACGCTGTTACACACACACACACTGTGTTACACACACACACGCGGTGTTACACACACACACACGCTGTGTTACACACACACACACGCTGTGTAACACGCACACGTGCTGTGTTACACACACATGCTGTGTTACAAACACACACACTGTGTTACACACACGCAGTGTTACACACACACACACACACGCTTCCTTACACACAAACACTCTGTGTTACACACACACACGCTGTGTTACACACACGCTGGTTAGACAAAAGCCACATTACCTGATGATGTCATTGACTGAGAAATGTCGATTACCAATCCTGGGACATGGGACACACACATACAGTGACACACACACATAGACACACACACACACATAGACACACACACGTGCACAACAACAACAACCGCCATTCGCCACTAAGTGGCGGTGACGTCACCACGACGCTTGTGCCAGGCTATGTGCACCTTGAGGCCACGTGGAGTGTCGAACGCCCGCTGGCAGGAGGTCACGGGGCAGACCCAGGTGCCACGGGTCGACTGACAGAGATGACTGGCTGGTGCACCACCTGTGCCCCCTACCGTGTCAACCTGCTGTGCTTTAGCCACCCGGCGCTCCGCTCGTTGTTGTGAGCGTCGCTCCTCCGCCCTCCGTTGTTGTTGGAGAGCGACTACCTCCAACTGCCCAGTAGCATCCTTCACGAGCCTCCTCCACAGAGGCCGATCTTGACACCGCTGGTACCAGTCATTGGCAAGTCCACTCAGCTCCACGTCCTCCTGTACCACATCACTCCATCTCTTCTCTAGCCCGTGCCGCGCCCGTTTAGCCCCCTCGATCCGGCCGAACAAAAGCTGTTTCGGCATGCGGTGGCTGGGCATGCGGGCTACATGACCCAGCCATCGCAGCCTTGCCCGCCGGAGGAGCTCACCGATGGGACCTTGCCCAGATCTTTCAAGGATTTGTGAGCTCCTCACACAATCCAGTCTGGTTAAACCCAGGATGGATCGTAGGCAGGTCAGCCTACATGTTTATAACCAGCGAAGATGTTCCATTAGGGGGGTCCACGTTTCGCAGGCGTAGAGAAGGGAGGGAATGACCGTGGCCGAGAAGACCTGAAGCTTAGTGCGGAGCGACAGACCAGGTAGCTTCCACACAGCATTACGCAACCGATGAAAAGATATTGCCGCTCGACTGATTCGGAGTGAGACCTCTGCTGTTAAACTGGAGCCGGCCATAAGCACACTGCCCAGGTATGGGAAACTCTCCACTCTCTCCACAACTGCCCCATCACCGATTGGGAGTTGTGGGGGTGGAGTGTCCGATGGTACAAAATACCCAGGCAGGTGCTTAGTTTTGGTGGGGCTGATGGTCAGGCCCCATCTCTTAGTGGCACGCTCCAGACTCAGCAGCAGCGTCTCCAACTCCTCCTCTGAATGAGCAGCTACTACCAAATCATCAGCATACATAACGTGGTTGAGCAATAGGGAGCCATCCCTTGACCACACCCGGGCGTCGATCAGCCTCCCATTATATCTGTTCCATATGGAGATTCCCCCAGTACAGCTATTGCAGGCACACACACATAGTGACACACACATATGTTGTTTGGTTGTTGTGGTTGTTGTGGTTGTGGTTGTTGTGGTTGTTGTTGTGGCTGTGGTTGTTGTTGTGGTTGTGGTTGTTGTTGTTTACCTGCGAGTGATGCTTCTGTTCGGGCTGGGCGCAGCCTCCTCATCACTGTCGTCACCACCACCACCAACTACAACAACAACCACCACCACCAACTACAACAACAACCACCACCACCAACTACAACAACAACCACCACCAACTACAACAACAACCACCACCAACTACAACAACAACCACAACAATCACAACTACAACTACAATAACCACAACTAGTCCAACCACCACAACTACTACAACCACAATAACCACAGCTACTACAACCACAATAACCACAACTACTACAACTACAATAACCACAACTACTACAGCAACCACAATAACCACAAATACTACAACCACAATAACCACAACTACTACAACCACAATAACCACAACTACTACAACCACCACCACCCACTACAACAACCACCACACGGGGAAGACACGGGGAGACACGTGGAGACACGGGGGAGACACGGGGGAGACACGGGGAGACACGGGTAGACATTGAGAGACACGGCGGAGACACGGGGAGACACGGGGGAGACATGGGGGAGACACGGGGAGACACGGGGAGACACGGGGGAGACACGGGGGAGACACGGGGAGACACGGGTAGACATTGAGAGACACGGCGGAGACACGGAGAGACACGGGAGAGACATTGAGAGACACGGGAGAGACATTGAGAGACACGGGGGAGACACGGGGAGACACAGGGGAGAGCAAATCTCACCATTTGCTGATCCCGCTGCTGATGATGGTGCTACTGATGATACTGATGATGCTGATGGTGCAGATGATGCTGCTGCTGATGATGTTGCTGATGTTGATGGTGCTGATGGTGGTCCAGCATCATCGCCATCATCATCAGCAGCTGCTGCTGCTGCTGCTGATGATGCTGCTGTTGAATCAAAACAGAAGGGGGCAGCATTGGTGAGTGGTGAGTGTGGCGGTGAGTGTGGTGGTGAGTGTAGTGGTGAGTGTGGTGGTGAGTGTGGTGGTGAGTGTAGTGGTGAGTGTGGTGGTGAGTGTGGTGGTGAGTGTAGTGGTGAGTGTGGTGGTGAGTGTGGTGGTGAGTGTAGTGGTGAGTGTAGTGGTGAGTGTGGTGGTGAGTGTGGTGGTGAGTGTAGTGGTGAGTGTGGTGGTGAGTGTGGTGGTGAGTGTAGTGGTGAGTGTGGTGGTGAGTGTGGTGGTGAGTGTAGTGGTGAGTGTAGTGGTGGTGGTGAGTGTGGTGGTGAGTGTAGTGGTGAGTGTGGTGGTGAGTGTGGTGGTGAGTGTGGTGGTGAGTGTGGTGGTGAGTGTGGTTGTGAGTGTGGTGGTGAGTGTGGTGGTGAGTGTGGTGGTGAGTGTGGTTGTGAGTGTGGTGGTGAGTGTGGTGGTGAGTGTGGTGGTGAGTGTGGTGGTGAGTGAGTGGTGGTGTATGTAGTGGTGAGTGTGGTGGTGAGTGTAGTGGTGAGTGAGTGGTGGTGTATGTAGTGGTGAGTGTGGTGGTGAGTGTAGTGGTGAGTGTGGTGGTGAGTGTGGTGTTGAGTGTGGTTGTGAGTGTGGTGGTGAGTGTGAGTGGTAAGTGTGGTGGTGAGTGTGGTGGTGAGTGTGGTGGTGAGTGTGGTTGTGAGTGTGGTGGTGAGTGTGGTGGTGAGTGTGGTGGTGAGTGTAGCGGTGAGTGTGGTGAGTAGTGGTGAGTGTGGTGGTGAGTGTAGTGGTGAGTGTGGTGGTGAGTGTAGTGGTGAGTGTAGTGGTGAGTGTAGTGGTGAGTGTGGTGGTGAGTGTGGTGGTGAGTGTGGTGGTGAGTGTAGTGTTGAGTATGGTGGTGAGTGTGGTGGTGAGTGTAGTGGTGAGTGTGGTGAGTGTGGTGGTGTGTGTAGTGGTGAGTGTAGTGGTGAGTGTGGTGTTGAGTGTAGTGGTGAGTGTAGTGGTGAGTGTGGTGGTGAGTGTGGTGTTGAGTGTGGTGTTGAGTGTAGTGGTGAGTGTGGTGGTGAGTGTGGTGGTGAGTGAGTGGTGGTGTGTGTAGTGGTGAGTGTAGTGGTGAGTGTGGTGGTGTGTGTAGTGGTGAGTGTGGTGTTGAGTGTGGTGGTGTGTGTAGTGGTGAGTGTGGTGGTGAGTGTGGTGGTGAGTGAGTGGTGAGTGTGGTGGTGAGTGTGGTGGTGTGTGTAGTGGTGAGTGTAGTGGTGAGTGTAGTGGTAAGTGTGTTGGTGTGTGTAGTGGTGAGTGTGGTGTGGAGTGTGGTGGTGTGTGTAGTGGTGAGTGTAGTGGTGAGTGTGGTGGTGAGTGAGTGGTGAGTATAGTGGTGAGTGTGGTGGTGTGTGTAGTTGTGAGTGTGTTGTTGAGTTTACCAGATTCATCTTCAGCTCTTCTCCCCAAGGAAAATGAACTCTGAGACCTGTGAAGAGAGATAACAACCACACTCACCACCACACTCACCACCACACTCACCACCACACTCAATGACCCACCCACCAACCCACCAACCCACGCACCTACCCACCAACCCACCCAGCAACCCACCCACTCATCCACTCACACACCCACCCACTCACCCACCCACCCACTCACTCACTCACCCACCCACTCACTCACTCACCCAGCCGCCCACTCATCCACCCACTCATCCACCCACTCACTCACTCACCCACCCACTCACCCACCCACTCACTCACCCACCCACCCACCCAGCAACCCACCCACTCACCCACTCACCCACTCACCCACCCACTCAATCACTCACCCACTCACCCTCTCATCCACCCATTCACCGCCTCATCCACTCACACACCCACTCACTCACTCACCCACCCGCTCACTCACTCACTCACCCACCCGCTCACTCACCCACTCACCCACCCACCCCGCCACTCACCACTCGCTGCTGAAGCTGAGCTGGATGGTGCTCTGCGTGGTACCCTCTGTGCTGTAGTGCAGATTCAGCACCGGCTCCACCACTGTCGCACCACCACCACCAACAACTCCACCACCACCACCACCCACAACAACACCACCATCTCCCAGAACAACACCAACACCACCCACAACACCACCACCACCACAACCACCACCACTACCACCGCCCACACCACCACCACCACCACCCGCACCACCACCACCACCCGCACCACCACCACCACCCGCACCACCACCACCACCCCCACCATCACCACCACCATCACCACCACCCACACCACCATCATCACCACCACCACCACCACCAACAACTCCACCACCACCACCCCCCACAACAACACCATCATCTCCCAGAACAACACCACCATCTCCCAGAACAACACCACCCACATCACCACCACCACCACCATCACCAACACCACCACCAACACCCACACCATCACCACCACCACCACCACCCACCGCAACACCACCCACACCATCACCACCACCCACCGCAACACCACCCACACCACCATCACCACCACCATCACCACCACCCACATCACCACCCACACCACCACCACCACCCACACCACCATCACCACCACCACCCACTGCTCCGTCACCCCCAGGCTCCAGCCCCCCCTCCCCACGTGACCCTCCCCCTGCCCCTCCCCCAGCAGCAAGCCCCCCCTCGTGGTCTTCAGAGGGGACACCTGGGGGTGGGGGGGAGGGGGGTGGGAAGGGGGAAGGGGGAGGGGGAAGGGGGAGGGGGGGTGGGAAGGGGGAGGGGGGAGGGGGATGAGGGGGGAGGGAGGGGGAGGGAGGGGTGGAACACACAGCAGAGGTCATGGCAAGGATGAGGTCAGGGTGAGGTCAGGGTGAGGTCAAGGTGAGGTCAAGGTGAGGTGACATGGTGAGGTGAGTGGTGAGTGGTGGTGAGTGGTGGTGAGTGAGTGGTGGTGAGTGGTGGTGAGTGAGTGGTGGTGAGTGAGTGGTGGTGAGTGGTGAGTGGTGGTGAGTGGTGGTGAGTGGTGGTGAGTGAGTGGTGAGTGGTGGTGAGTGAGTGGTGGTGAGTGGTGGTGAGTGTGGTGGTGTGTGTAGTGGTGAGTGTGGTGGTGAGTGAGTGGTGAGTGTGGTGGTGAGTGTGGTGGTGAGTGTGGTGGTGAGTGTGGTGGTGAGTGGTGGTGAGTGGTGGTGAGTGAGTGGTGGTGAGTGGTGAGTGGTGGTGAGTGAGTGGTGGTGAGTGGTGGTGAGTGGTGAGTGGTGGTGAGTGGTGGTGAGTGAGTGGTAGTGAGTGGTGAGTGGTGGTGAGTGAGTGGTGGTGAGTGAGTTGTGGTGAGTGAGTGGTGAGTGGTGGTGAGTGAGTGGTGGTGAGTGAGTGGTGGTGAGTGAGTGAGCGAGTGGTGGTGAGTGGTAAGTGAGTGGTGGTGAGTGGTAAGTGAGTGGTGAGTAGTGGTGAGTAGTGGTGAGTAGTAGTGGTGAGGTGAGTGGTGAATGAGTGGTGAGTGGTGAGTGAGTGGTGGTGAGTGGTGAGGTGAGTGAGTGAGTGGTGAGTGAGTGGTGAGTGGTGGTGAGTCAGTGGTGGTGAGTGGTGGTGAGTGAGTGGTGGTGAGTGAGTGGTGGTGAGTGGTGAGTGGTGCTGAGTGAGTGGTGGTGAGTGGTGGTGAGGTGAGTGGTGAGTGGTGGTGAGGTGAGTGGTGAGTGGTAAGTGAGTGGTGAGTGGTGAGTGAATGAGTGAGTAGTGAGTGAGTGGTGAGTGAGTGGTGAGTGGTGAGTGAGTGGTGAGTAGTGGTGAGTGGTGAGTGAGTGGTGAGTAGTGGTGAGTGAGTGGTGAGTCGTGGTGAGTGAGTGAGTGGTGAGTGGTGAGTGAGTGAGTGGTGAGTAGTGGTGAGTAGTGGTGAGTAGTGGTGAGTGTTGAGTGAGTGGTGAGTGAGTGGTGAGTAGTGGTGAGTGAGTGCTGAGTGAGTGGGTGGGTGAGTGAGAGAGTGAGCAGTGGTGAGTGGTGAGTGAGTGGTGGCTGAGTGAGTGGTGAGTAGTGGTGAGTAGTGGTGAGTGAGTGGTGAGTGAGTGAGTGGTGAGTGAGTGGTGAGTGAGTGGTGAGTAGTGGTGAGTGAGTGCTGAGTGAGTGGGTGAGTGAGTGAGTGAGTGGTGAGTGAGTGAGTGGTGAGTGAGTGAGTGAGTGGTGAGTGAGTGAGTGAGTAGTGGTGAGTGGTGAGTGAGTGGTGGCTGAGTGAGTGAGTGGTGAGTAGTGGTGAGTAGTGGTGAGTGAGTGGTGATTGAGTGAGTGAGTGAGTGGTGGCTGAGTGAGTGGTGAGTGATGAGTAGTGGTGAGTGAGTGTTGAGTGAGTGTTGAGTGAGTGAGTGGTTAGTAGTGGTGAGTAGTGGTGAGTAGTGGTGAGCTGTAAGCGGCTTGCCAGAGTGATCGTGGAGATGCATCAAGTGGAGCTGCTTCCTCACGGCCATGGATGGAGAGTCTGGGGATACATCTGGACAGTGTGTCACTGTGTCACTGTGTGTCACTGTGTGTGTCACTGTGTCACTGTGTGTCACTGTGTGTGTCACTGTGTGTCACTGTGTCACTGGGTGTGTCACTGTGTGTGTCACTGTCCAGCAAAACAACCCCCTACCTCTTCGTGGTGCCGGACGGGCAACTCTGTCGTGGACAGTGCTGTGGGGGGGAGGTCCAATTTCGATTGGCTCCTCCCCTCATGGCATCTGTGTCCAACACAGTGGCTAAACAGGGGCTCTGGATGGGTGCGAGGGGCTGGTAACCCCTCCACCTTCAATTAATTACCCCTAAACCGCGAATTAAGTATATAACTAATAAGCTTGTGCCGGAGGCCCTGGGGGGCCAGGCGTCTATGACGTCTCCTGGCCAAACCCCAATTGGCGGAGCCAGAAGATTGAATATCTACCCTCGGGGCTCCTCCAGAAACAACGAAAAACCACTACGGGTGGCCACGTGGAATGTTCAAACGCTCACTGCGGAGGAGAGGCTGCCACTCCTCTGTCGGGAGCTGGACAGGTACCGCCTGGATCTATGTGGCATTCAGGAGGTCTGGTGGACCGGCTCTGGCTCCTGCCACCATGAGGGGTGGACAGTCCTCTACTCGGGGCAGCAGACTGCCAAAAAACAGGATGTGGCTCTTCTTTTGAACAAAAGAATGAAGGGGGCGTGGGAGCATGGCGGTGAGGTGTGGGAAGCTGTAAGCCCCAGGCTACTTTGGGCTCGCCTTCCCATCAACCGGAGACGAGGAATGGTGGTCGTGGTTACTTATGCCCCCACCGAAGATGAACATCCGTGGAGGGATGCAGGCAAAGCCGATGAGTCAGATGCCTTCTATGACCTCCTGTCACAGGTGCTGGCTAAAGTGGCCCCTCGGGATAGAGTCATCATGTTGGGTGACTTCAATGCCCGAGTTGGTCATGATGCTGGCACCTGGTCTGGAGTGATTGGAGGGCATGGGCCAGATCAGCTCAATAACAGCGGCTGGGATTGGCATCGTCCCCGACTCCTCCTGATGTCGAGGGTAAATGGGCGAGGTTTAGGACTGTGACTCATGCAGCTGCAATGGCTGCTTTGGGTACACGGTCCAGACCTCTCCAGAAACCCTGGCTGACAGAGGAGGTGTTCAGGATGGTTGAGAAAAAGCGACAGGCCCACTGTCATCGGCTACAGAATCCCACGTCAGAGAATGAGGAGGCTTACCGCAGCCTTCGCTCGGAGGTTCGGAGAGCCGTGAGGCGCTGCAAGGATGGGTGGTGGCCGCGGGTTGTTGAGGAGATGGAGTCTGCCTCAGTGGCCCGTGATCACAAATCTCTATTTAACTCCATCAAAAAAGTAACCTGCAGCGCCACACCTATTACCATCATTAGGGGAAAAAACGGTGATCCAATCTCCGACCCCCAGGAACAAGTTTGCAGATTTGCTGCGCATTTCTGCGAGGTCCTGGGGGAAGGAAAATCCCTCAGCCGGGAAAACATTGTGGCATAAAGTGAGGATGACCCTGCTGAGGCTGCGGTGCCTCAAATATTGGAAGAAGTCACCCCCTGTGAGTGGCTGGCTGAGGTGCCATCTGTTGAGGAAGTAATGAAGGCGATCCGGAGTCTGAGACCAGGAAAGGCAGCAGGCAGAGATGATCTGCCAAGCGAAATGCTGAGGGAGGGTGGCGTTTGTGCACAGACTGCCCTATATGACATCATAACAACAGTCTGGACCACTGGACGGGTTCCGCAGGATTGGAAGGATGCCCTGGTGGTCCCCCTTTTTTTTTAAGAAGGGGGACCGCACAGACTGTAACAACTACAGGGGCATCTCACTCCTCAGTGTGCCGGGAAAGGTCCTGGCAAGGATATTCAACATCGCCTTGCCAGGCATGCTGAGGAGAGGCTTGCGGAGCCCCAATGCGGTTTCAGGAAAGGGCGATCCTGCACAGATGCCATATTTTCTGTCCGTCTGCTACAGCAGAGGTGTAGGGAATTCCAACAAGACCTACACCTCTGCTTTATTGACCTGGTCAAGGCCTATGATACCATCAGTAGGCCTGGGCTCTGGGTTGTTCTTCGTGCTTTTGGAGTACCTGACCCTCTGCTAACGATCATTAAGGACCTTCATGATGGTGAGCGGGCCCGGGTAAAACTACGTGGCCGGGAGTCAGAGCCATTCCCTGTACACCTTGGGGTTCGACAAGGATGTCCTCTGGCTCCCACATTATTTAACATCTATTTTGCCCACATGGTTCGTGAAGTCTTCAATAGCTGTACCGGGGGAATCTCCATTTGGTACAGATATAATGGGAGCCTGATCGATGCCCGGGTGCGGTCAAGGGATGGCTCCCTATTGCTCAACCACGTTATGTATGCTGATGATTTGGTAATAGCTGCACATTCAGAGGAGGAGTTCGAGACGCTGCTGCTGAGACTGGAGCATGCCACTAAGACGTGGGGCCTTACCATGAGCCTCACCAAAACTAAGCACCTGCCTGGGTATTTTGTACCATTGGACACTCCACCCCCACAACTCCCAATCGGTGATGGGGCAGTTGTGGAGAGAATGGAGAGTTTCCCATACATGGGCAGTGTGCTTATGACTGGCTCCAGTTTAACAGCACAGGTCTCACTCCGAATCAGTCGAGTGGCAATATCTTTTCATCAGTTGCGTAACACTGTGTGGAAGCTACCTGGTCTGTCGCTCCGCACTAAGCTTCACGTCTTCTCGGCCACGGTCATTCCCTCCCTTCTCTACGCTTGCGAAACGTAGACCCCCCTAATGGAACATCTTTGCCGGTTAGAAACAGACTGGATTGTGTGAGGAGCTCACAAATCCTTGAAAGATTTGGGCAAGGTCCCATCGGTGAGCTCCTCCGGCGGGCAAGGCTGCGATGGCTGGGTCATGTAGCCCGCATGCCCAGCCACCGCATGCCGAAACAGCTTTTGTTTGGCCGGATTGAGGGGGCTAAACGGGCGCGGCACGGGCTAGAGAAGAGATGGAGTGATGTGGTACAGGAGGACGTGGAGCTGAGTGGACTTGCCGATGACTGGTACCAGCGGTGTCAATATCGGCCTCTGTGGAGGAGGCTCGTGAAGGACGCTACTGGGCTGTTGGAGGTAGTCGCCCTCCAACAACAATGGAGGGCGGAGGAGCGATGCTCACAACAACGATCGGAGCGCCGGGTGGCTAAAGCACAGCAGATTGGCACAGTAGGGGGCACAGGTGGTGCATCAGCCAGTCATCTCAGTCATCTCAGTCAGTCGACCCGTGGCACCTGCTGGGTCTGCCCCGTGACCTCCTGCCAGCGGGCGTTTGACACTTCACGTAGCAGCCTCAAGGTGCACATGGCCTGGCACAAGCATCGTGGTGATGTCACTGCCACTTAGTGCCGAATGGCGGTTGTTGTTGTTGTCTGGGGGAGCGATAGTGTAGGGGTTAGCGCGCTGCGCTATAAACCTGGCGGCCCGGGTTCGATTCCCACTCACGGCCAACACCAGTGACGATTATCTGAACCGGTCCCGGGCCTCCCCTAGGTTGACTCAGCCTCAAATGAGTACCTGGTGCGGTGTGTAAACATCGTCACTAGGGAGACAAAGGCGGTCGGGCGTGGTGCTGGCCACCCACCCCCTCGTGTACCGTTCCGGCCTTCATAGGTGCTCGCTAACAGCACTTGCCCCTACAGTCTGTTAAGGCTATACGGGGGATGTTTGTCTTTGTCAGTGTGTGTGTCCGTGTCCCCTGGTCTCCCCCGTGTCTCCCCCGTGTCTCCCCGCGTCTCACCTGACTTTGTCCGAGTCTCTGCTGGCACCACGGGTTTAGCCGGTGGTGCGCCCATGGCAACAGAGCTGCAACCACAACCACAGCCACAACAACCAGGTCAACCATGGTGTCTCCCTGTGACTCACCCGTCTCTCCCCCCTCTCTCCGTCTCTCTCCCGTCTCTCCCCGTCTCTCTCCCCCCCCTCCCCGTGTCTCTCCCCCCCTCCCCTCTCTCTCCCCCCTCTCTCCCCCCTCTCTCCCCACTCTCTCAACCGTCTCTCCCCCAGTCTTTCCCCGTGTCTCTCCCCGTGTCTCTCCCCGTGTCTCTCCCCAGTCTCTCCCCCCGTCTCTCCCCCCGTCTCTCTCCCAGTCTCTCTCCCCGTCTCTCCCCCTCTCTCCCCCCCTCTCTCCCCCCTCTCTCCCCTCTCTCCCCCCCCCTCTCCCCGTCTCTCCCCGTGTCTCCCCGTGTCTCTCCCCGTGTCTCTCCCCCGTCTCTCCCCCCGTCTCTCTCCCCGTCTCTCTCCCCGTCTCTCTCCCCGTCTCTCTCCCCGTCTCTCTCCCCGTCTCTCTCCCCGTCTCTCCCCCCTCTCTCCCCCCCTCCCCCCTCTCTCCCCCCCCTCTCCCCGTCTCTCCCCGTGTCTCCCCCCTCTCCCCGTGTCTCCCCCCGCTCCCCGTGTCTCTCCCCGTGTCTCTCCCCGTGTCTCCCCCTCTCCCCGTGTCTCTTCCCCGTCTCTCCCCGTGTCTCCCCCCTCTCCCCGTGTCTCCCCCACCCCCCTCCCCGCAGTGTCTCCCTCCCCACGTTCTCCCCTCACCCCTCGTCGTCCGGCGACGAGAGCAGAGACACCGCCGCAGCCGCCACGGCGGAGGAGGCGGAGGCGGTGGTGGAGGTGGTGGTGGAGGCGGTGGAGGCGGCGGTGGAGGAGGTGGAGGAGGTGGAGGCGGTGGAGGCGGTGGTGGAGGAGGTGGAGGAGGTGGAGGCGGTGGAGGCGGTGGTGGAGGAGGAGGTGGAGGCGGAGGCAGTGGAGGCGGCGATGGAGGAGGTGGAGGCGGTGGAGGAGGCGGTGGAGGCGGTGGAGGAAGAGGTGGAGGCGGTGGAGGAGGCGGTGGAGGAGGTGGAGGAGGTGGAGGCGGTGGAGGCGGTGGTGGAGGAGGTGGAGGCGGTGGAGGCGGAGGTGGAGGAGGTGGAGGAGGTGGAGGAGGGGGCGGGGAGGAGAGTGGGCGGTGGAGTCGCCGGGGTCACTCCACGCCTCCCGCGGGGACGCGCGGACAACGACCCCTCGGACGAGGGAGACAGCGGAGACGGAGTCAGCGGAGACTCGGCCGACGCGGCTGGGACGGAGACACGGGGGGGTCGGGGGGGGGCGGACGCCGTGACGACCCCCGCGATGAACCCACCGTGACCCCCGTGATGACCCCGCCATGACCCCACCGTGACCCCCGCGGCGACCCCACCGTGACCCCGGTAATGACTCCACCGTGACCCCAGTGATGACCCCGCCATGACCCCACCGTGACCCCTGCGGCGAACCCACCGTGACCCCGGTAATGACCCCACCGTGACCCCCATGATGACCCCGCCGTGACCCCACCGTGACCCCCTTGGCGACCCCACCGTGACCCCAGCGATGACGCCACCGTGACCCCAGCGACGACCCCATGGTAACCCCAGCGATGACCCCACTGTGACCCCCGTGGCGACCCCACCGTGACCCCGGCGATGACCCCACCGTGACCCCACGACGACCCCACCGTGACCCCAGTGATGACCCCACCGTGACCCCCGTGGCGACCCCACCGTGACCCCGGCGATGACCCCACCGTGACCCCATGATGACCCCACCGTGACCCCAGTGATGACCCCACCGTGACCGCAGGGACGACCCCACCGTGACCCCACCGTGACCCCACCGTGACCCCACCGCGCCCCCCTCTCACCGCGTGTGCGGGGGGTGAGGGGGGTGAGGGGGGGCCGTGCCCTCGCTCCGCCGCCCCCCCCCAGAGTCACCCCCCTCGCTCGCCTCCTCAAACCAGCGGGAAAGCATCTCAGACATCCGCTGCATCAGGCTGACTCCCGTGTCTCCTGTACACACAGACACATACACACAGACACACACATAGACACACACACATACACAAATAGACACACACATAGACACATACACACACAGACACACACATAGACACACACACATACATAGACACACACACAGACACACAGAGACACACACACACACAGACACAACAACAACAACTGCCATTCGCCACTAAGTGGCGGTGACATCACCACGATGCTTGTGCCAGGCCATGTGCACCCTGAGGCCACGTGAAGTGTCGAACGCCCGCTGGCAGGAGGTCACGGGGCAGACCCAGGTGCCAAGGGTCGACTGACTGAGATGACTGGCTGATGCACCACCTGTGCCCCCTACTGTGCCAACCTGCTGTGCTTTAGCCACCCGGCGCTCCACTCGCTGTTGTGAGCGTCGCTCCTCCGCCCTCCGTTGTTGTTGGAGGGCGACTACCTCCAACTGTCCAATAGCGTCCTTCACGAGCCTCCTCCACAGAGGCCGATATTGACACCGCTGGTACCAGTCATCGGCAAGTCCACTCAGCTCCACGTCCTCCTGTACCACATCACTCCATCTCTTCTCTAGCCCGTGCCGCACCCGTTTAACCCCCTCAATCCGGCCAAACAAAAGCTGTTTCGGCATGCGGTGGCTGGGCATGCGGGCTACATGACCCAGCCATCGCAGCCTTGCCCGCCGGAGGAGCTCACCGATGGGACCTTGCCCAAATCTTTCAAGGATTTGTGAGCTCCTCACACAATCCAGTCTGGTTAAACCCAGGATGGATCGTAGGCAGGCCAGCCTAAATGTTTCTAACCGGCAAAGATGTTCCATTAGGGGGGTCTACGTTTCGCAAGCGTAGAGAAGGGAGGGAATGACCGTGGCCGAGAAGACGTGAAGCTTAGTGCGGAGCAACAGACCAGGTAGCTTCCACACAGCGTTACGCAACCGATGAAAAGATATTGCCGCTTGTCTGATTTGGAGTGAGACCTCTGCTGTTAAACTGGAGCCGGTCATAAGCACACTTACCAGGTATGGGAAACTCTCCACTCTCTCCACAACTGCCCAATTACCGATTGGGAGTTGTGGGGGTGGAGTGTCCGATGGTACAAAATACCCAGGCAGGTGCTTAGTTTTGGTGGGGCTGATGGTAAGGCCCCATTTCTAAGTGGCACGCTCCAGCCTCAGCAGCAGCGTCTCCAACTCCTCCTCTGAATGAGCAGCTATTACCAAATCATCAGCATACATAACGTGGTTGAGCAATAGGGAGCCATCCCTTGACCGCACCCAGGCATCGATCAGGCTCCCATTATATCTGTACCAAATGGAGATTCCCCCGGTACAGCTCTTGAAGGCTTCACGAACTACGTGGTCAAAATAGATGTTAAATAATGTGGGAGCCAGAGGACATCTCTGTCGCACCCCAAGGTGTACAGGTAATGGCTCTGACTCCCGGCCACGTAGCTTTACCCGGGCCCGCTCACCATCATAATGGTCCTTAATGATCGTGAGCAGAGGGTCAGGTCTCCAAAAGCACGAAGAACAACCCAGAGCCCAGGTCTACTGATGGTATCAAAGGCCTTGACCAGGTCAATAAAGCAGAGATGCAGGTCTTGCTGGAATTCCCTACACCTCTGCTGTAGCAGACGGACAGAAAATATGGCATCTGTGCAGGACCGTCCTTTCCTGAAACCGCATTGGGGCTCCGCAAGCCTCTCCTCAGCGTGTCTGGCAAGGCAATGTTGAATAATCCTTGCCAGGACCTTGCCCGGCACACTGAGGAGTGAGATGCCCCTGTAGTTGTTACAGTCTGTGCGGTCCGCCTTCTTAAAGAGGGGGACCACCAGGGCATCCTTCCAGTCCTGCAGAACCCGTCCAGTGGTCCAGACTGTTGTTATGATGTCATATAGGGCAGTCTGTGCACAAACGCCACCCTCCCTCAGCATTTCGCTTGGGAGATCATCTCTGCCCGGTGCCTTTCCTGGTCTCAGACTCCGGATCGCCTTCAGTACTTCCTCAACAGATGGCACCTTAGCCAGCCACTCACAGGGGGTGACTTCTTCCAATATTTGAGGCACCGCAGCCTCAGCAGGGTCATCCCCACTTTGTGCCACGATGTTTTCCTGGCTGAGGGATTTCCCCTCCCCCAAGACCTCACAGAAATGCTCAGCAAATCTGCAAACCTGTTCCTGGGGGTCAGAGATTGGATCACCGTTTTTTCCCCTAATGATGGTAATAGGTGTGGCGCTGCAGGTTAATTTTTTGATGGAGTTAAGTAGAGATTTGTGATCGCGGGCCACTGAGGCAGACTCCATCTCCTCAGCAACCCGCGACCACCGCCCATCCTTGCAGCATCTCACGGCTCTCCGAACCTCCGAGCAAAGGCTGCGGTGAGCCTCCTCATTCTCTGACGTGGGATTCTGTAGCCGATGACAGTGGGCCTGTCGCTTTTTCTCAACTATCCTGAACACCTCCTCTATCAGCCAGGGTCTCTGGGGAGGTCTGGACCACGTACCCAAAGCAGCCAATGCAGCTGCATGAGTCACAGTCCTAAACCTCACCCATTTACCCTCGACATCAGGAGGAGTGGGGGACGATGCCAACCGCAGCCGCAAGCGATGATGAAATTCTCGCTTATAACTTTCATCAGCTGAGACCAGGCCACTTTAAGTTGGAATGGGGTCCTGGGTGTACACCCACCACCAGAGTGGAAGATTGGCAGGTGCATCTTACAGATGACTAGTCGATGGTCAGAGGGCAGATCAGCTCCACGGTAGGTCCTGGTGTCAAGGACATGGGCTCGCATCCGCTGGTCCGTCACTATGTAGTCCAGCAGATGTTCTTGCTTGGACCCGGCATGCATCCATGATGTTGTGTGGATGCGCCGATGCCGGAACAGCGTGTTGGTAATTACAAGCCCATGGGCTGCACAAAATCTAGCAGCCTCCTACCGTTGTTATTGAGCTGATCTGGCCCATGCCCTCAAATCACTCCCGACCAGGTGCCAGCATCATGACCAACTCGGGCAGTGAAGTCACCCAACAAGATGACTCTATCCCGAGGGGCCACTTTAGCCAGCACCTGTGACAGGAGGTCATAGAAGGCATCTGACTCATTCGCTTTACCTGCATCCCTCCACGGATGTTCATCTTCGGTGGGGGCATAAGTAACCACGACCACCACTCCTCGCCTCCGGTTGATGGAAGGCGAACCCAAAGTAGCCTGGGGCTTACAGCTTCCCACACCTCACCGCCACGCTCCCACGCCCCCTTCATTCTTTTGTTCAAAAGAAGAGCCACACCCTGTTGTTTGGCAGTCTGCTACCCCGAGTAGAGGACTGTCCACCCTTTATGGTGGCAGGAGCCAGAACCGGTCCACCGGACCTTCTGAATGCCACAGAGATCCAGGCGGTACCGGTCCAGCTCCCGACAAAGGAGTGGCAGCCTCTCCTCCGCAGTGAGCGTTTGAACATTCCACGTGGCCACACGAAGTGGCTTTTCATTGTTTCTGGAGCAGCCCCGAGGGTAGAGATTCAATCTCCTGGCTCTGCCAATTGGGGTTTGGCCAGGAGACGTCAAAGACGCCTGTCCCCCCGGCGCCTCCGGCACAAGCTTATTAGTTACATTTTTTAGCCCCTCGAACCCGTCCAGAGCCCCTATTTAGCCCCTGTGGTGGTCACAGACGCCATGAGGGGAGGAGCCAATCGGAATTGGCCCTCCCCCCACAGCACTGTCCATGACAGAGTTGCCCGTCTGGCACACACACACACACATAGACACACACACACACATAGACAAAGACAAGGATCCCCCGTACAGCCTTTACAGACTGTAGGGGCAAGTGCTGTTAGCAAGCAGCACCTATGAAGGCTGGCATGGCACACGAGGGGGTGGGTGGCCAGCACCACGCCCGGCCGCCTTTGTCTCCCCAGTGGCGATGTTTACTACACACCGCTACACCAGGTACTCACTTGAGGCTGAGTCGACCTAGGGGGGGCCCAGGACCGGTTCAGATAATTGTCACTAGGTGGTGTTGGCCGTGAGCGGGACTCAAACCCGGGTCACCGGGTTCGTAGCGCAGCGAAGCGCTAACCGCTACACTACCACTACACACACACATGGTGACACACACAGACATGGACAGTGAGGGAAAAAAAGTATTTGATCCCCTGCTGATTTTGTACGTTTGCCCACTGACAAAGAAATGATCAGTCTATACATTTAATGGTAGGTTTATTTGAACAGTGAGAGACAGAATAACAAAAAAATCCAGAAAAACGATGTCAAAAATGTTATAAATTGATTTGCATTTTAATGAGGGAAATAAGTATTTGGCCCCCTCTCAATCAGAAAGATTTCTGGCTCCCAGGTGTCTTTTATACAGGTAACGAGCTGAGATTAGGAACACACTCTTAAAGGGAGGGCTCCTAATCTCAGCTTGTTACCTGTATAAAAGACACATTTCCACAGAAGCAATCAAGCAATCAGATTCCAAACTCTTCACCATGGCCAAGACCAAAGAGCTCTCCAAAGATGTCAGGGACAAGATTGTAGACCTACACAAGGCTGGAATGGGCTACAAGACCATTGCCAAGCAGCTTGGTGAGAAGGTGACAACAGTTGGTGCGATTATTCACAAATGGAAGAAACACAAAAGAACTGTCAATTTCCTTCGGCCTGGGGCTCCATGCAAGATCTCACCTCGTGGAGTTGCAATGATCATGAGAACGGTGAGGAATCAGCCCAGAACTACACAGGAGGATCTTGTCAATGATCTCAAGGCAGCTGGGACCATAGTCACCAAGAAAACAATTGGTAACACACTACGCCATGAAGGACTGAAATCCTGCAGTGCCCGCAAGGTCCCCCTGCTCAAGAAAGCACATGTACATGCCCGTCTGAAGTTTGCCAATGAACATCTGAATGATTCAGAGAACAACTGGGTGAAAGTGTTGTGGTCAGATGAAACCAAAATGGAGCTCTTTGGCATCAACTCAACTCGCCGTGTTTGGAGGAGGAGGAATGCTGCCTATGACCCCAAGAACACAATCCCCACCGTCAAATATGGAGGTGGAAAACATTATGCTTTGGGGGTGTTTTTTCTGCTAAGGGGACAGGACAACTTCACCGCATCAAAAGGACGATGGACAGGGCCATGTACCGTCAAATGTACATGCCCGTCTGAAGTTTGCCAATGAACATCTGAATGATTCAGAGAACTGGGTGAAAGTGTTGTGGTCAGATGAGACCAAAATGGAGCTCTTTGGCATCAACTCAACTCGCCGTGTTTGGAGGAGGAGGAATGCTGCCTATGACCCCAAGAACACCATCCCCACCGTCAAACATGGAGGTGGAAAACATTATGCTTTGGGGGTGTTTTTCTGCTAAGGGGACAGGACAACTTCACCGCATCAAAAGGACGATGGACAGGGCCATGTACCGTCAAATGTACATGCCCGTCTGAAGTTTGCCAATGAACATCTGAATGATTCAGAGAACTGGGTGAAAGTGTTGTGGTCAGATGAGACCAAAATGGAGCTCTTTGGCATCAACTCAACTCGCCGTGTTTGGAGGAGGAGGAATGCTGCCTATGACCCCAAGAACACCATCCCCACCGTCAAACATGGAGGTGGAAAACATTATGCTTTGGGGGTGTTTTTCTGCTAAGGGGACAGGACAACTTCACCGCATCAAAAGGACGATGGACAGGGCCATGTACCGTCAAATGTACATGCCCGTCTGAAGTTTGCCAATGAACATCTGAATGATTCAGAGAACTGGGTGAAAGTGTTGTGGTCAGATGAGACCAAAATGGAGCTCTTTGGCATCACTCAACTCGCCGTGTTTGGAGGAGGAGGAATGCTGCCTATGACCCCAAGAACACCATCCCCACCGTCAAACATGGAGGTGGAAATATTATGCTTTGGGGGTGTTTTTCTGCTAAGGAGACAGGACAACTTCACCGCATCAAAGGGACGATGGACGGGGCCATGTACCGTCAAATCTTGGGTGAGAACCTCCTTCCCTCAGCCAGGGCATTGAAAATGGGTCGTGGATGGGTATTCCAGCATGACAATGACCCAAAACACACGGCCAAGGCAACAAAGGAGTGGCTCAAGAAGAATCACATTAAGGTCCTGGAGTGGCCTAGCCAGTCTCCAGACCTTAATCCCAAAGAAAATCTGTGAAGGGAGCTGAAGGTTCGAGTTGCCAAACATCATCCTCGAAACCTTAATGACTTGGACAAGATCTGCAAAGAGAAGTGGGACAAAATCCCTCCTGAGATGTGTGCAAACCTGGTGGCCAACTACAAGAAACGTCTGACCTCTGTGATTGCCAACAAGGGTTTTGCCACCAAGTACTAAGTCATGTTTTGCAGAGGGGTCAAATACTTATTTCCCTCGTTAAAATGCAAATCAATTTATAAAATTTTTGACATGCGTTTTTCTGGATTTTCTTGTCATTCTGTCTCTCACCGTTCAAATAAACCTACCATTAAAATTATAGACTGATCATTTCTTTGTCAGTGGGCAAACGTACAAAATCAGCAGGGGATCAAATATTTCTATCCCTCACTGTACAAACACACACACACAGATAGACACTCGTGTCTCCCCGTGTCTCCCCGTGTCTCCCCCTGTCTCCCCGTGTCTCCCCATCTCTCCCCGTGTCTCCCCGTGTCTCCCCGTCTCTCCCCGTGTCTCCCCGTGTCTCCCCGTGTCTCCCCGTATCTCCCCGTCTCTCCCCGTGCCTCCCCGTGTCTCCCCGTCTCTCCCCGTGTCTCCCCGTGTCTCCCCGTGTCTCCCCGTGTGTCCCCGTGTCTCCCCGTGTCTCCCCGTGTCTCCCCGTGTCTCCCCGTCTCTCCCCGTGTCTCCCCGTGTCTCCCCGTGTGTCCCCGTGTCTCCCCATCTCTCCCCGTGTCTCCCCGTGTCTCCCCATCTCTCCCCGTGTCTCCCCGTGTCTCCCCGTCTCTCCCCGTGTCTCCCCCTGTCTCCCCGTGTCTCCCCGTGTCCCCCCGTGTCTCCCCGCGTGTACCGGCTGTCTCCCTCTCGCTCTCTGGACGTGCCCGTGGGCCCGTGTCCGACCAGTCCCCGCGGAGACGCAGACGCTTCACTGGCAGAGGACGAGACTGCGAGACGGAGACACACGGAGACACACGGAGACACAGCGGGGAGGTGCAGGGAGACACAGGGAGACACACGGAGATACGCGGAGACACAGCGGGGAGGTGCAGGGAGACAAAGGGAGACACAGGGAGACACAGGGAGACACAGCGGGGGGGAGGTACGTGGAGACACGGGGAGACACGGCGGGGGGGTACGTGGAGACACGGGGAGACACAGGGAGACACAGGGAGACATGCAGAGACACAGCGGGGGGAGGTGCGGGGAGACACAGGGAGACACGGGGAGACACGGGGAGACACGGCAAGGACACGGAGGGACACGGGGATATGGAGACATATGGAGACACAGGGACACGTAGCGACAGGTGGAGACACAGGGAGACACACGGAGACACATGGAGACAAGTGGAGACACAGGGAGGCACGTGGAGACACAGGGAGACACGTGGAGACACATGGAGACACGTGGAGACACGGGGAGACAAGGGAGACACAGGGAGACACAGGGAGACACGTGGAGAGACAGGGAGACACGTGGAGAGACAGGGAGACACGTGAAGACACGGGGAGACACGTGGAGACACGGGGAGACACGTGGCACTGCGTGTCTCTACCTCTCTCGTCCGTGTTGGGACATCCGCGTAGACCTGCGGAGACAGAGCGAGACATGGAGAGACAAAGTGAGACACGTCTCTCTCACTTACCCTGTGTGTCTCCCTCTGTGTCTCACTCACCCTGTGTGTCTCTCTGTGTCTCTCTCACTCACCCTGTGTGTCTCTCTGTGTCTCTCTCACTCACCCTGTGTGTCTCTGTCTCACTCACCCTGTGTGTCTCTCTGTGTCTCTCTCACTCACCCTGTGTCTCTCTTTCACTCACCCTGTGTGTCTCTCTGTGTGTCTCACTCACCCTGTGTGTCTCTCTGTGTCTCTCTCACTCATCCTGTGTGTCTCTCTGTCTCTGTCTCACTCACCCTGTGTGTCTCTGTCTCTGTCTCACTCACCCTGTGTGTCTCTCTGTGTCTCTCTCACTCACCCTGTGTCTCTCTTTCACTCACCCTGTGTGTCTCTCTCTCTGTCTCTCACTCACCCTGTGTGTCTCTCTCACTCACCCTGTGTGTCTCTCTCTCTGTCTCTCACTCACCCTGTGTCTCTCTCTGTGTCTCTCACTCACCCTGTGTCTCTCTCTGTGTCTCTCACTCACCCTGTGTGTCTCTCTCTCTCTGTCTCTGTCTCACTCACACTGTGTCTCTCTCTGTGTCTCTCACTCACCCTGTGTGTCTCTCTCTGTCTCTGTCTCACTCACCCTGTGTCTCTCTCTGTGTCTCTCACTCACCCTGTGTCTCTCTCTCTGTGTGTCTCTCACTCACCCTGTGTGTCTCTCTCTCTGTGTCTCTCACTCACCCTGTGTGTCTCTCTGTGTCTCTCACTCACCCTGTGTGTCTCTCTCTCTGTGTCTCTCTCTGTGTCTCACTCACCCTGTGTGTCTCCCTCTGTGTCTCTCTCACTCACCCTGTGTGTCTCTCTGTCTGTCTCTCTCTGTCTCACTCACCCTGTGTCTCTCTCTCTGTCTCTCACTCACCCTATGTCTCTCGCTCTGTGTCTCTCTCTCTCTCTCTCTGTCTCTCTCTCTCACTCACCCTCTCTCTCTCTGTGTCTCTCTCTCACTCACCCTGTGTGTCTCTCTCTGTGTGTCTGTCTCACTCACCCTGTGTGTCTCTATCTGTCTCTGTCTCACTCACCCTGTGTCTCTCTCTGTGTCTCTCTCACTCACCCTGTGTCTCTCTCTGTGTCTCTCTCACTCACCCTGTGTCTCTCTCTGTGTCTCTCTCACTCACCCTGTGTGTCTCTCTCTGTGTCTCTCTCACTCACCCTGTGTGTCTCTCTCTCTGTCTCTGTCTCACTCACCCTGTGTGTCTCTCTCTCTGTGTCTCTCACTCACCCTGTGTGTCTCTCTCTCTGTGTCTCTCTCTGTGTCTCACTCACCCTGTGTCTCTCTCTGTGTCTCTCTCTCACTCACCCTGTGTCTCTCTCTGTCTCTGTCTCACTCACCCTGTGTCTCTCTCTGTGTCTCTCTCACTCACCCTGTGTGTCTCTCTCTGTGTCTCTCACTCACCCTGTGTCTCTCTGTGTCTCTCACTCACCCTGTGTGTCTCTCTCTCTGTCTCTGTCTGTGTCTCACTCACCCTGTGTGTCTCTCTGTGTCTCTCTCACTCACCCTGTGTGTCTCTCTCTCTGTGTCTCTCTCTGTGTGTCTCTCACTCACCCTGTGTCTCTCTCTCTCTGTGTCTCTCTCACTCACCCTGTGTGTCTCTCTGTCTCTGTGTCTCTCACTCACCCTGTGTGTCTCTCTCTCTCTGTGTCTCTCTCTGTGTCTCACTCACCCTGTGTGTCTCTCTGTCTCTGTGTCTCTCACTCACCCTGTGTGTCTCTCTCTCTGTGTCTCTCTCTGTGTCTCACTCACCCTGTGTGTCTCCCTCTGTGTCTCTCTCACTCACCCTGTGTGTCTCTCTGTCTGTCTCTCTCTCTCTGTCTCTGTCTCACTCACCCTGTCTCTCTCTCTCTCTCTGTGTCTCTCTCTCACTCACCCTGTGTGTCTCTCTCTGTGTCTCTGTCTCACTCACCCTGTGTGTCTCTATCTGTCTCTGTCTCACTCACCCTTGTCTCTCTCTGTGTCTCTCTCACTCACCCTGTGTGTCTCTCTCTCTCTGTCTCTCTCTCACTCACCCTGTGTGTCTCTCTCTCTGTGTCTCTCACTCACCCTGTGTGTCTCTCTCTCTGTCTCTGTCTCACTCACCCTGTGTCTCTCTCTGTGTCTCTCACTCACCCTGTGTCTCTCTCTCGTGTGTCTCTCACTCACCCTGTGTGTCTCTCTCTGTGTCTCTCACTCACCCTGTGGATGTCTCTCTCTCTGTGTCTCTCTCTCACTCACCCTGTGTGTCTCTCTCTGTGTGTCTCTCACCCCCCCCCCACCCCCAGTGTCTCTCTCCCCGACCTGTCTCCGCGTCTCCGCTCCCCCGGCCGCCGAAGTCGACGTAGCCCTCAGCTCCACGGCTCCGCCACCCCCAGCCGCTCCGCCACCGCCAGCCGCTCCGCCCTCCGCCACGTTGGGCGAGAACAGGTAGACGCTGTCCGCCGAGTAGCTGACGAGGAGGTGCGAGCCGCTGGCGCTGTAGGCCAGCGAGGTGACCCGGTGTCCCCGCGGAGACAGCCCCGGGGGCACGAAGCGGAGCAGCAACGCGGACGCGCAGCCGCTGCGGGGACACGGGGGGGGGCCTGGGGCAGGGGGGGGGGGAGGGAGGGGGAGACACGGGGAGGGAGACACGGGGAGGGAGACACGGGGAGACACGGGGAGGGAAACACGAGGAGACACGGGGAGACACTGGGAGACACGGGGAGGGAGACACGGGGAGACACGGGGAGACACGGGGAGACACGGGGAGACACGGGGAGACACGGGGAGACACAGAGATAGATGGGGAGACACGGGGAGACACGGGGAGACACAGAGATATACGGTGAGACACGGGGAGACACGGGGAGACACGGGGAGGGAGACACGGGGAGACACGGGGAGACACAGAGATAGATGGAGAGACACAGGGAGACACGAGGGGGTGGAGACATGTGGGAGTGGAGCTATTGGAGGAGGAGGCGGGGCCGCCACACGTGGGAGGAGCTACCGGAGGAGGAGGAGGCGGGGCCACCACACGTGTGGGAGGAGCTAGCGGAGGAGGAGGCGGGGCCACCACACGTGGGGGTGGAGCTACTGGAGGAGGTGGTGCCACCACACGTGTGGGAGGAGCTAGCGGAGGAGGAGGCGGGGCCGCCAAACGTGTGGGAGGAGCTACCAGAGGAGGCGGGGCCGCCACACGTGTGGGAGGAGCTACCGGAGGAGGAGGCGGGGCCGCCACACGTGTGGGAGGAGCTACCGGAGGAGGCGGGGCCGCCACGCGTGTGGGAGGAGCTACCAGAGGAGGCGGGGCCGCCACACGTGTGGGACGAGCTACCGGAGGAGGAGGCGGGGCCACCACACGTGTGGGAGGAGCTAGCGGAGGAGGAGGAGGCGGGGCCGCCACACTTGTGGGAGGAGCTACCGGAGAAGGAGGCGGGGCCGCCACGTGTGGGAGGAGCTACCGGAGGAGGCGGGGCCGCCACACGTGTGGGAGGAGCTACCGGAGGAGGAGGCAGGGCCGCCACACGTGTGGGATGAGCTACCAGAGGAGGAGGCGGGGCCGCCACACGTGTGGGAGGAGCTACCGGAGGAGGAGGCGGGGCCGCCACACGTGTGGGAGGAGCTAGCGGAGGAGGAGGCGGGGCCGCCACACGTGTGGGAGGAGCCAGCGGAGGAGGAGGGGCCGCCACACGTGTGGGAGGAGCTACCGGAGGAGGAGGCGCCGCCACGCGTGTGGGAGGAGCTAGCGGAGGAGGCGGGGCCGCCACACGTGTGGGAGGAGCTACCAGAGGAGGAGGCGGGGCCACCACACGTGTGGGAGGAGCTACCGGAGGAGGAGGCGGGGCCACCACACGTGTGGGAGGAGCTACCGGAGGAGGAGGCGGGGCTGCCACACGTGTGGGAGGAGCTACCGGAGGAGGCGGAGGCAGGGCTGCCACACGTGTGGGAGGAGCTACCGGAGGAGCAGGAGGCGGGGCCGCCACACGTGTGGGAGGAGCTACCGGAGGAGGCGGGGCACCACACGTGTGGGAGGAGCTACCGGAGGAGGAGGCGGGGCCGCCACGCGTGTGGGAGGAGCTAGCGGAGGAGGAGGAGGCGGGGCCGCCACACGTGTGGGAGGAGCTACCGGAGGAGGAGGAGGCGGGGCCGCCACACGTGTGGGAGGAGCTACCGGAGGAGGAGGCGGGGCCTAGCATGCGGCGGTCGTAGATTCGCACGGCGCTGTCGGCTGAGCCCAGCGCCAGGCGGAACGGCACAGCGGGGTCCAGAGCCATGGCGGAGACGGCACTGCGGCAGCTGATGAGCACATCCTGTGGACACCGTGTCACTCAGTCACTTAGTCAGTCACTCAGTCAGTCAGTCACTCACTCAGTCAGTCACTCACTCAATCACTCAGTCAGTCAGTCACTCAGTCACTTAGTTAGTCACTTAGTTAGTCACTTAGTCAGTCACTTAGTTAGTCAGTCACTTAGTCGGTCACTTAGTTAGTCACTTAGTCAGTCACTTAGTTAGTCAGTCACTTAGTTAGTCACTCAGTCAGTCACTTAGTTAGTCACACAGTCAGTCACTTAGTTAGCCACTTAGTTAGTCAGTCACTCAGTCAGTCACTCAGTCAGTCACTTAGTCAGTCACTTAGTTAGACAGTCACTTGCACAGTCAGTCACTCAGTCACTCAGTCAGTCACTCAGTCACTCAGTCACTTAGTCAGTCACTCAGTCAGTCACTTAGTTAGTCACTCAGTCAGTCACTTAGTTAGTCACTTAGTCAGTCACTTAGTTAGTCAGTCACTCAGTCAGTCACTCACTCAGTCAGTCACTCAGTCACTCAATCAGTCACTCAGTCAGTCACTCAGTAACGCAGTCGCTTAGTTAGTCACTTAGTTAGTCAGTCACTCAGTCAGTCACTCAGTCAGTCACTTAGTCAGCACTTAGTTAGACAGTCACTTGCACAGTCAGTCACTCAGTCACTTAGTTAGTCACTCAGTCAGTCACTTAGTTAGTCACTCAGTCAGTCACTTAGTTAGTCACTTAGTCATTCACTTAGTTAGTCAGTCACTCAGTCAGTCACTCAGTCAGTCACTTAGTTAGTCACTCAGTCAGTCACTTAGTTAGTCACTTAGTTAGTCAGTCACTCTGTCAGTCACTCAGTCAGTCACTTAGTCAGTCACTTAGTTAGACAGTCACTCGCACAGTCAGTCACTCAGTCACTCAGTCAGTCACTCAGTCACTCAGTCACTTAGTCAGGCACTCAGTCAGTCACTTAGTTAGTCACTCAGTCAGTCACTTAGTTAGTCACTTAGTCAGTCACTTAGTCAGTCACTCAGTCAGTCACTTATTTAGTCACTTAGTTAGTCAGTCACTCAGTCAGTCACTTAGTTAGTCACTCAGTCAGTCACTTAGTTAGTCACTTAGTTAGACAGTCACTCGCACAGTCAGTCACTCAGTCAGTCACTTAGTCAGTCACTCAGTCAGTCACTTAGTCAGTCACTTAGTTAGTCACTCAGTCAGTCACTTAGTCAGTCACTCAGTCACTTAGTTAGTCACTCCGTCAGTCACTTAGTTAGTCACTCAGTCAGTCACTCAGTTACTCACTCAGTCACTCACTCAGTCAGTCACTCACTCAGTCACTCAGTCAGTCACGCAGTCAGTCACTCAGTCAGTCAGTCACTCAGTCAGTCATTCAGTCACTTAGTTAGTCACTCAGTCAGTCACTTAGTTAGTCACTCAGTCAGTCACTTAGTTAGTCACTTAGTCAGTCACTTAGTTAGTCACTCAGTCAGTCACTTAGTTAGTCACTTAGTTAGTCAGTCACTCAGTCAGTCACTCAGTCAGTCACTTAGTCAGTCCCTTAGTTAGACAGTCACTCGCACAGTCAGTCACTCAGTCACTCAGTCAGTTACTCAGTCACTTAGTCAGTCACTCAGTCAGTCACTTAGTTAGTCACTCAGTCAGTCACTTAGTTAGCCACTTAGTCAGTCACTTAGTCAGTCACTCAGTCAGTCACTTATTTAGTCACTTAGTTAGTCAGTCACTCAGTCAGTCACTTAGTTAGTCACTCAGTCAGTCACTTAGTTAGTCACTTAGTTAGACAGTCACTCGCACAGTCAGTCACTCAGTCAGTCACTTAGTCAGTCACTTAGTCAGTCACTTAGTTAGGCACTCAGTCAGTCACTTAGTCAGTCACTTAGTTAGTCAGTCTGTCACTCAGTCACTTAGTCAGTCACTCAGTCACTTAGTTAGTCACTCAGTCAGTCACTTAGTTAGTCACTCAGTCAGTCACTTAATTAGTCACTTAGTCAGTCACTTAGTTAGACAGTCACTCGCACAGTCAGTCACTCAGTCACTCAGTCAGTCACTCAGTCACTCAGTCACTTAGTCAGTCACTTAGTTAGTCAGTCACTCAGTCAGTCACTCAGTCAGTCAGTCACTCAGTCACTTAGTTAGTCACTCAATCAGTCACCTAGTTAGTCACTCAGTCAGTCACTTAGTTAGTCACTTAGTCAGTCACTTAGTTAGTCACTCAGTCAGTCACTTAGTTAGTCACTTAGTTAGTCAGTCACTCAGTCAGTCACTCAGTCAGTCACTTAGTCAGTCACTTAGTTAGACAGTCACTCGCACAGTCAGTCACTCAGTCACTCAGTCAGTCACTCAGTCACTCAGTCACTTAGTCAGTCACTCAGTCAATCACTTAGTTAGTCACTCAGTCAGTCACTTAGTTAGTCACTTAGTCAGTCACTTAGTCAGTTACTCAGTCAGTCACTTATTTAGTCACTTAGTTAGTCAGTCACTCAGTCAGTCATTCAGTCACTTAGTTAGTCACTCAGTCAGTCACTTAGTTAGTCACTCAGTCAGTCACTTAGTTAGTCACTTAGTCAGTCACTTAGTTAGTCACTCAGTCAGTCACTTAGTTAGTCACTTAGCTAGTCAGTCACTCAGTCAGTCACTCAGTCAGTCACTTAGTCAGTCCCTTAGTTAGACAGTCACTCGCACAGTCAGTCACTCAGTCACTCAGTCAGTCACTCAGTCACTTAGTCAGTCACTCAGTCAGTCACTTAGTTAGTCACTCAGTCAGTCACTTAGTTAGCCACTTAGTCAGTCACTTAGTCAGTCACTCAGTCAGTCACTTATTTAGTCACTTAGTTAGTCAGTCACTCAGTCAGTCACTTAGTTAGTCACTCAGTCAGTCACTTAGTTAGTCACTTAGTTAGACAGTCACTCGCACAGTCAGTCACTCAGTCAGTCACTTAGTCAGTCACTTAGTCAGTCACTCAGTCAGTCACTTAGTCAGTCACTTAGTTAGTCAGTCTGTCACTCAGTCACTTAGTCAGTCACTCAGTCACTTAGTTAGTCACTCAGTCAGTCACTTAGTTAGTCACTCAGTCAGTCACTTAATTAGTCACTTAGTCAGTCACTTAGTTAGACAGTCACTCGCACAGTCAGTCACTCAGTCACTCAGTCAGTCACTCAGTCACTCAGTCACTTAGTCAGTCACTTAGTTAGTCAGTCACTCAGCCAGTCACTCAGTCAGTCAGTCACTCAGTCACTTAGTTAGTCACTCAATCAGTCACCTAGTTAGTCACTCAGTCAGTCACTTAGTTAGTCACTCAGTCAGTCACTTAGTTAGTCACTCAGTCAGTCACTTAGCTAGTCACTTAGTTAGTCAGTCACTCAGTCAGTCACTTAGTCAGTCACTTAGTTAGACAGTCACTCGCACAGTCAGTCACTCAGTCACTCAGTCAGTCACTCAGTCACTCAGTCACTTAGTCAGTCACTCAGTCAATCACTTAGTTAGTCACTCAGTCAGTCACTTAGTTAGTCACTTAGTCAGTCACTTAGTCAGTTACTCAGTCAGTCACTTATTTAGTCACTTAGTTAGTCAGTCACTCAGTCAGTCACTTAGTCACTCAGTCAGTCACTTAGTTAGTCACTTAGTTAGACAGTCACTCGCACAGTCAGTCACTCAGTCAGTCACTTAGTCAGTCACTCAGTCAGTCACTTAGTCAGTCACTTAGTTAGTCACTCAGTCAGTCACTTAGTTAGTCAGTCTGTCACTCAGTCACTTAGTCAGTCACTCAGTCACTTAGTTAGTCACTCAGTCAGTCACTTAGTTAGTCACTCAGTCAGTCACTCAGTTACTCACTCAGTTACTCACTCAGTCACTCACTCAGTCAGTCAGTCACTCAGTCAGTCACTCAGTCACTTAGTTAGTCACTCAGTCAGTCACTTAGTTAGTCACTTAGTCAGTCACTTAGTTAGTCACTCAGTCAGTCACTTAGTTAGTCACTTAGTTAGTCAGTCACTCAGTCAGTCAGTCAGTCACTTAGTCAGTCACTTAGTTAGACAGTCACTCGCACAGTCAGTCACTCTGTCACTCAGTCAGTCACTCAGTCACTCAGTCACTTAGTCAGTCACTCAGTCAGTCACTTAGTTAGTCACTCAGTCAGTCACTTAGTTAGTCACTTAGTCAGTCACTTAGTCAGTCACTCAGTCAGTCACTCAGTCAGTCACTTATTTAGTCACTTAGTTAGTCAGTCACTCAGTCAGCCACTTAGTTAGTCAATCAGTCAGTCACTTAGTTAGTCACTTAGTTAGACAGTCACTCGCACAGTCAGTCACTCAGTCAGTCACTTAGTCAGTCACTCAGTCAGTCACTTAGTCAGTCACTTAGTTAGTCACTCAGTCAGTCACTTAGTCAGTCACTTAGTTAGTCAGTCTGTCACTCAGTCACTTAGTCAGTCACTCAGTCACTTAGTTAGTCACTCAGTCAGTCACTTAGTTAGTCACTCAGTCAGTCACTTAATTAGTCACTTAGTCAGTCACTTAGTTAGCCACTCAGTCAGTCACTTAGTTAGTCACTTAGTTAGTCAGTCACTCAGTCAGTCACTCAGTCAGTCACTTAGTCAGTCACTTAGTTAGACAGTCACTCGCACAGTCAGTCACTCTGTCACTCAGTCAGTCACTCAGTCACTCAGTCACTTAGTCAGTCACTCAGTCAGTCACTTAGTTAGTCACTCAGTCAGTCACTTAGTTAGTCACTTAGTCAGTCACTTAGTCAGTCACTCAGTCAGTCACTCAGTCAGTCACTTATTTAGTCACTTAGTTAGTCAGTCACTCAGTCAGCCACTTAGTTAGTCAATCAGTCAGTCACTTAGTTAGTCACTTAGTTAGACAGTCACTCGCACAGTCAGTCACTCAGTCAGTCACTTAGTCAGTCACTCAGTCAGTCACTTAGTCAGTCACTTAGTTAGTCACTCAGTCAGTCACTTAGTCAGTCACTTAGTTAGTCAGTCTGTCACTCAGTCACTTAGTCAGTCACTCAGTCACTTAGTTAGTCACTCAGTCAGTCACTTAGTTAGTCACTCAGTCAGTCACTTAATTAGTCACTTAGTCAGTCACTTAGTTAGCCACTCAGTCAGTCACTTAGTTAGTCACTTAGTTAGTCAGTCACTCAGTCAGTCACTCAGTCAGTCACTTAGTCAGTCACTTAGTTAGACAGTCACTCGCACAGTCAGTCACTCAGTCACTCAGTCAGTCACTCAGTCACTCAGTTAGTCAGTCAGTCACTTAGTCAGTTACTGATGAGCACGTCTTGTAGACACCGTGTTAGTCACTCAGTCAGTCAGCAACTTAGTCACTTAGTCACTTAGTCAGTCACGGAGTCAGTCAGTCACTTAGTTAGTCAGTCAGTCAGTCACTTAGTCAGTCACTCAGTCAGTCACTTAGTCACTTAGTTAGTTAGTCACTTAGTCAGTCACTTAGTTAGTCAGTCAGTCACTTAGTCAGTTACTGATGAGCACGTCCTATAGACACCGTGTCAGTCACTCAGTCAGTCACTTAGTCAGTCACTTAGTTACTCAGTCACTTAGCCACTCAGTCAGTCACTTAGTTAGTCACTTAGTTAGTCAGTCAGTCACTCACTCAGTCAGTCAGTCACTTAGTCAGTCAGTCACTTAGTCAGTCACTCGGTCAGTCAGTCACGCAGTCACTTAGTCAGTCACTCAGTCAGTCACTTAGTCAGTCACTCAGTGAGTCACTCAGTCAGTTACTCAGTCACATAATCAGTCAGTCACTTAGTCAGTCACTCAGTCACTCAGTCACGAGTCACTCAGTCACTCAGTCACTCAGTCAGTCACTCACACAGTCAGTCACTCACACAGTCAGTCACTCAGTCACTCAGTCACTCAGTGACTTAGTCAGTCAGTCACTTAGTCAGTCACTCACTCAGTCACTCAGTCAGTCACTCAGTCAGTCACTCAGTCACTTAGTCAGTCACTCAGTCAGTCACTCAGTCACTCAGTCAGTCACTCAGTCACTTAGTCAGTCACTCAGTCACTAAGTCAGTCAGTCACTCAGTCAGTGACTCAGTCAGTCAGTTGCACAGTCAGTCAGTCACTTAGTCAGTCACTTAGTCAGTCACTCAGTCAGTCACTCAGTCACTTAGTCAGTCACTCAGTCAGTCAGTCAGTCACTCACTCAGTCACTCACTCAGTGACTCAGTCAATCACTCACTCAGTCAGTCACTCAGTCAGTCACTCAGTCACTCAGTCAGTCCCTCAGTCAGTCACTCAGTCAGTCACTCAGTCAGTCACTCAGTCAATCACTCAGTCAGTCACTTAGTCAGTCACTCAGTCACTCAATCAGTCACTCAGTCAGTCACTCAGTGAGTCACTCAGTCAGTCACTCAGTGAGTCAGTCACTCAGTCAGTCAGTCACTCAGTCAGTCACTCACACAGTCACTCAGTCAGTCACTTAGTCAGTCACTCAGTCAGTCACTCAGTCAGTCAGTCACTCAGTCACTCAGTCAGTTAGTCAGTCACTCACTCAGTCACTCACTCAGTGACTCAGTCAATCACTCACTCAGTCAGTCACTCAGTCAGTCACTCAGTCACTCAGTCAGTCCCTCAGTCAGTCACTCAGTCAGTCACTCAGTCAGTCACTCAGTCAATCACTCAGTCAGTCACTTAGTCAGTCACTCAGTCACTCAATCAGTCACCCAGTCAGTCACTCAGTGAGTCACTCAGTCAGTCACTCAGTGAGTCAGTCACTCAGTCAGTCAGTCACTCAGTCACTCAGTCAGTCAGTCACTCACACAGTCACTCAGTCAGTCACTTTGTCAGTCACTCAGTCAGTCATTCAGTCACTCACACAGTCAGTCAGTCACCCAGTCACTTAGTCAGTCACTTATTCAGTCACTCAGTCAGTCACTCAGTCAGTCAGTCAGTCACTCAGTTACTTAGTCAGTCACTCAGTCAGTCAGTCACTCAGTACGTCACTCAGTCACTCAGTCAGTCACTCAGTCAGTCACTCAGTCAGTCAGTCACTCAGTCAGTCACTCAGTCACTCAGTCAGTCAGTCACTTAGTCAGTCACTCAGTCACTCAGTCACACAGTCAGTCACTCAGTCAGTCACTTGCTCACTCACTCAGTCACTCAGTCAGTCACTCACTCAGTCACCCACTCACTCACTCAACTACACACTCGCTCACCTACTCACTCACCTACACACTCACTCACCTACTCACCTACTCACTGACCTACTCACTCACCTACTCACTCACCTACTCACTCAATCACCCACTCAGTCACTGTGTAGGTGAGTGAGTAGGTGAGTGAATAGGTGAGTAGGTGAGTGAGTAGGTGAGCAGGTGAGTAGGTGAGTAGGTGAGTGAATAGGTGAGTAGGTGAGTGAGTGTGTAGGTGAGTGAGCAGGTGAGTAGGTGAGTAGGTGAATTAGTAGGTGAGTGAGTAGGTGAGTAGGTAGGTGAGTGAGTAGGTGAGTAGGTGAGTGAGGAGGTGAGTGAGTAGGTGAGTGAGTAGGTGAGTGAGGATGTGAGTAGGTGAGTAGGTGAGTGAGTAGGTGAGTGAGTGAGTAGGTGAGTGAGTAGGTCAGTGAGTAGGTGAGTAGGTGAGTGAGTAGGTGAGTGAGTAGGTGAGTGTATAGGTGAGTAGGTGTGTGCGTAGGTGAGTGAGTAGGTGAGTGAGTAGGTGAGTGTGTAGGTGAGTGTATAGGTGAGTAGGTGAGTGAGTAGGTGAGTGTGTAGGTGAGTAGGTGAGTGTGTAGGTGAGTGTGTAGGTGAGTGAGTAGGTGAGTGAGTAGGTGAGTAGGTGAGTGAGTAGGTGAGTGAGTAGGTGAGTAGGTGAGTAGGTGAGTGAGTAGGTGAGTGAGTAGGTGAGTAGGTGAGTGAGTAGGTGAGTGTGTAGGTGAGTGTATAGGTGAGTAGGTGAGTGAGTAGGTGAGTGTATAGGTGAGTAGGTGAGTGAGTAGGTGAGTGAGTAGGTGAGTGAGTAGGTGAGTAGGTGAGTGAGTAGGTGAGTGAGTAGGTGAGTATGTGAGTGAGTAGGTGAGTGAGTAGGTGAGTAGGTGAGTGAGTAGGTGAGTGAGTAGGTGAGTAGGTGAGTGAGTAGGTGAGTGAGTAGGTGAGTGAGTGTGTAGGTGTGTAGGTAAGTAGGTGAGTGAGTAGGTGAGTAGGTGAGTGAGTAGGTGAGTGAGTAGGTGAGTAGGTGAGTGAGTAGGTGAGTGAGTAGGTGAGTAGGTGAGTGAGTAGGTGAGTAGGTGAGTGAGTAGTTGAGTGAGTAGGTGAGTGAGTGTGTAGGTGTGTAGGTAAGTAGGTGAGTGAGTAGGTGAGTAGGTGAGTGAGTAGGTGAGTGAGTAGGTGAGTAGGTGAGTGAGTAGGTGAGTAGGTGAGTGAGTAGGTGAGTGAGTAGGTGAGTAGGTGAGTGAGTAGGTGAGTGAGTAGGTGAGTAGTTGAGTGAGTAGGTGAGTAGGTGAGTGAGTAGGTGAGTGAGTAGGTGAGTAGGTGAGTGAGTAGGTGAGTAGGTGAGTGAGTAGGTGAGTGTATAGGTGAGTAGGTGAGTGTATAGGTGAGTGTATAGGTGAGTGTATAGGTGAGTAGGTGAGTGAGTAGGTGAGTGAGTAGGTGAGTGAGTAGGTGAGTGAGTAGGTGAGTGTATAGGTGAGTAGGTGAGTGAGTAGGTGAGTGTATAGGTGTGTAGGTGAGTGAGTAGGTGAGTAGGTGAGTGAGTAGGTGAGTAGGTGAGTAGGTGAGTGAGTAGGTGTGTAGGTGAGTGAGTAGGTGAGTGTATAGGTGAGTGTATAGGTGAGTAGGTGAGTGAGTAGGTGAGTGAGTAGGTGAGTGAGTAGCTGAGTGAGTAGGTGAGTGAGTAGGTGAGTAGGTGAGTGAGTAGGTGAGTAGGTGAGTGAGTAGGTGAGTAGGTGAGTGAGTAGGTGAGTGAGTAGGTGAGTGTATAGGTGAGTGAGTAGGTGAGTAGGTGAGTGAGTAGGTGAGTGAGTAGGTGAGTGAGTAGCTGAGTGAGTAGGTGAGTGAGAAGGTGAGTAGGTGAGTGTATAGGTGAGTAGGTGAGTGAGTAGGTGAGTAGGTGAGTGAGTAGGTGAGTAGGTGAGTAGGTGAGTGAGTAGGTGAGTGAGTAGGTGTGTAGGTGAGTGAGTAGGTGAGTGTATAGGTGAGTGTATAGGTGAGTAGGTGAGTGAGTAGGTGAGTGAGTAGGTGAGTGAGTAGCTGAGTGAGTAGGTGAGTGAGTAGGTGAGTAGGTGAGTAGGTGAGTGAGTAGGTGAGTAGGTGAGTGAGTAGGTGAGTGAGTAGGTGAGTGTATAGGTGAGTGAGTAGGTGAGTAGGTGAGTGAGTAGGTGAGTGAGTAGGTGAGTGAGTAGCTGAGTGAGTAGGTGAGTGAGAAGGTGAGTAGGTGAGTGTATAGGTGAGTAGGTGAGTGAGTAGGTGAGCACCTCAGTGCAGTCGGGGCGTGCACACTGCGTGCGTGAGCGGAGGTCGACCCAGCGCACGGTGCCATCCTCACCACACGACAGGAACGAGTGAGGCTCACCTGGCACCACCAGCACCTGGGGGAGGGGCATGGGGGGAGGGGCATGGGGGGAGGGGCATGGGGGGAGGGGCATGGGGGGGAGGGGCATGGGGGGAGGGTGGGGCATGGGGGGGAGGGGCATTGGGGAGGGAGGGGCATGGGGGGGGAGGGGCATGGGGGGGAGGGGCATGGGGGGGACGGGTATGGGGGGGAGAGGCATTAGGGGAGGGCTATGGGTGGAGGGGTATGGGGGGGAGGGGCATGGGGGGGAGGGGCATGGGGGGGAGGGGCATGGGGGGGAGGGGCATCGGGGGGAGGGGCATGGGGGGGAGGGCATGGGGGGGAGGGGCATGGGGGGGAGGGGCATCACACACAAGCTCACCTACAAGACACACAGACAAAGCTCCCCCAGGTAGCTTCTAGCAGTCTGTAGGGCCAGGGGTCGGGAACCTTTTTGACTAAGAGAGCCATGAAAGCAAAACATTTGGAAATGTATTTCAGTGAGAGCCATATAATATATTTTAAAAGTGAATTCAACTAAATGTCAGTATAATAAGCCTCTGAATTTATTCTTTTAAATAATGTTGTTATAACACTCACCATTAATGCGACTTCTGGTGCTGCATGGATTTGCTGATGTCTTTGTAGTCGGGTTGGTACTTGGTGAGGTTAAGCTTCATGCAAGCGTTGAGGCTTTCATCCGTTAAACGTGATCGTAGGTTGGACTTGATGTTTTTAAGATGTGAGAATGACTGCTCACATGCATACGTAGATCCAAACATGGTCAATACAGCAATACTCACACGCTGCAGTGTGTGGTATGTGACAGGAAGCGCGTTCCAAGTTTTGAGAATCAGCTGGTCTTCGGGTTGGAGTTTTTTCATTTCTGTCCACATGTGCTTGCTCGCCAACTCCGCTTTCTGTCGTGTGATTCTTTCCAAATCTTCATTCAGTGACTTGAACTTATTCACCCACATGTCTGAGGCCTTCAGGTCAGCCACTTCTGCTTCAAAATCTCTGACGGAGACACCAGGGATGTAATTCAGGTCGGCTGTGTTCAGTGAACACTCGTTTGGATGGGTGATGAACTTAAAAAGACGAGTGTGCTCACGAAATTCTCCAAAGCGTGCTTTGAAGGACTGTAGGAGACTGGATGTGCAGCCAGCTAGCTGGTGGAGATCAAGGTTTTGAATGGGCTCACTTGCTGTGCATGCATCTTTAAATTGGCTCAGTTTTTCAAAATGTAGTAAACGACCTGTTTCAAGATCCGTGATGAAAAGCTCCAGCTTGTTTTCAAAAGCAAATACAGCTTGTTGAAGGGATAACACTATTTCCAATGCCTTGCATTTTCACGTTGAGCTGGTTCAGATGTTCAGTCAGATCTACGAGATAGTAAAACTTGAGGAGCCACTCGGTGTCGGCTAGCTCAGGATGCCCGACGCCTTTCATTTCAAGGAAAGTCCGGATTTCGTTCAGGCAAGCCGCAAAACGGCTAAGCACCTTCCCTCTTGACAACCAACGCACATTGCTGTGCAAAAGCAGACCAGGATAGTTATTTACAACTTCATCCAGCAGTGTTTTAAACTGGCGATCATTTAAGGCTCGGGCAACAATAAAGTTGATCACACGAATGACCAGCGACATCACTTCGCCAAACTGCCTGTCACACATCTGAGCACAAAGTGCCTCCTGGTGTATAATGCAATGGAAACTTAGGATGGGTCTATTTTCATGTTCACGGAGAAGCGCCACAAATGCTTTGTTTTTCCCCACCATACACGGAGCACCATCAGTACACACTGAGAGAAGTTTATCCATAGGTAGACTTTTTTCTTGAGCAAACTCCATGAAAGACTTGAATAAATCCTCACCTCTTGTGGACCCTTTTAATGGCAGAACAGCAAGACTTTCTTCGCGCAGTGTGTCACCAACAGCATATCTTGCAATCACGCTGAACTGCGACAAATGGCTCACGTCTGTTGACTCATCCAAAGCCAGAGAAAAGAACGGCGCTGCATTTATGTCCTTCACTTGCGTTTCCTCCACTTTGTTTGCCATCACGATGGTACGATCATGAACAGTTCTTGCCGACAGAGGCATGTCTTGTATCCGTTTGATTATCTTGTCTTTGTTCGGAAGATCATCAAAAAGTTCATTGGCTACATCCAGCATGAACGTTTTAGCATACTCGCCATCTGTGAATGGTTTTCCGTTCCTCACTATTGCTAAAGAACCAGCAAAGCTAGCCGAATTATAGTCACCTTGCCGGGTCCATACGCGGAGTTGCTGCTGGCTAGCTTGCACCCTGCTCAGCTCTTGGCACGCTTTCTTTCTGCTGTCTCCCGCAGGGTATTTTGATGCAAAGGTAGCGTGGCGCGTGTCGAAGTGCCGCTTTACATTCGACCGTTTCAACGATGTAATTTTGTCATTGCAAATTAGACACACCGCAGAACCCGCTCTCTCCACAAAGGCGAATTCTTCGGTCCATTCGTCCTGAAATGTACGATACTCGTCGTCTTTTTTTCTTTTCGCCATCTTCTTCGTCGAAGGGTTAGCTTTGAGATAATGACCGAGCAGACGCAGTCTCAGACTGATTCAAAAGGGGGCGTTTACCTGTTTTACCCAGCAACGGCAAACGTAGGCCAGTATCATCCAATTAAAATAATGGACAATTGCTCCTGCAGCCCTGAACAGGACATGCGCAGTGAAAAATCGATGGATGGATTAAAACAAGTGAGAATATTTTGTTTTATCTGCGAGCCATATGCAATCATCAAAAGAGCCACATCTGGCTCGCGAGCCATAGGTTCCCGACCCCTACTGTAGGGGCAAGTGCTGTTAGTGAGTAGTAGCAGCAGCATAAACACACACACAGACACACACACACCCATCAACCCACCCACCCACTCACTCACCCACTCACTCACCCACTCACTCACTCACCCACTCACTCACTCACCCACCCACCCACTCACCCACCCACTCACCCACCCACCCACTCACCCACTCACTCACTCACTCACCCACTCACTCACTCACTCACCCACCCACTCACTCACTCACCCACCCACCCACCCACTCACACACCCACCCACCCACTCACTCACCCACTCACTCACTCACCCACCCACCCACCCACTCACCCACCCACCCACTAACCCACCCACTCACTCACCCACTCACTCACTCACCCACCCACCCACCCACTCACCCACCCACCCACTCACCCACCCACTCACCCACTCACCCACCCACCCACCCACCTCGTAGGCCGTGCCGTGATGGCAGCTGAACTGTCCAAGTTGCCGGGAGGTTTCGAGGTCCGTGCGGGCGATGACCCCGTCTCCCGCACAGGACACCACCACTCGCTCGCGGCTCAGCGGCAGGAAGCGCGCCGAGAAGATGTTCGCCTTGTGGCCCGATGGCACGCTGGCGACCACCTACTCGCGGGGACACGCGGGGACACGCGGAGACACGCGGAGAGAGACACAGAGAGAGAGAGACACACACAGAGACACAGAGACACAGAGAGAGACACACACAGAGACACACACAGGGTGAGGCAGAGACACACACAGGGTGAGACACACAGAGACACACAGAGACACACACAGAGTGAGACACGCGGAGACACACGGAGAGAGACACAGAGACACACAGAGACACACAGAGACACACACAGAGACATACACAGAGTGAGACACACAGTGAGACACACAGAGTGAGACAGAGACACACAGAGACACACACAGAGACACACACAGAGTGAGACACGCGGAGACACACGGAGAGAGACACAGAGACACACAGAGACACACAGAGACACACACAGAGACACACACAGAGTGAGACACACAGTGAGACACACAGAGTGAGACAGAGACACACAGAGAGACACACAGAGACACACACAGAGTGAGACACGCGGAGACACACGGAGAGAGACACAGAGACACACAGAGACACACAGAGACACACACAGAGTGAGACACACAGTGAGACACACAGTGAGACACACAGAGTGAGACAGAGACACACAGAGACACACACAGAGTGAGACACACAGTGAGACACACAGAGTGAGACAGAGACACACAGAGACACACACAGAGTGAGACACACAGAGACACACACAGAGTGAGACAGAGACACACACAGAGTGAGACACACAGAGACACACACAGAGTGAGACAGAGACACACGGAGACACACACAGAGTGCGACACACAGAGACGCACACAGAGACACACACAGAGTGAGACACAGAGAGAGAGACACACACAGAGAGACACACAGGGTGAGGCAGAGACACACACAGAGAGACACACAGAGTGAGACAGAGACACACACAGAGTGAGACACACAGAGACACACACAGAGTGAGACACACAGAGACACACACAGAGTGAGACACACAGAGACACACACAGAGACACACAGAGACACACACAGAGTGAGACACACAGACACACAGAGTGAGACACACAGAGACACACACAGAGTGAGACACACAAAGACACACACAGAGTGAGACACACAAAGACACACACAGAGTGAGACACACAGAGACACACACAGAGTGAGACACCCACAGAGTGAGACAGAGACACACAGAGACACAGAGACACAGAGAAGACGTGTCTCTGTGTCTCTACCCCCCCGTGTCTCCCCCCTTCCGTGTCCTCCCCTTGTCTCCACCCCGTGTCTCCACCCCTCCGTGTCTCTCCCCCCTCCCACCGTGTCTCCCCCCACCCGTGTCTCCCCCTCCCCCCCCACCGTGTCTCCACACCCCGTGTCTCTACCCCCCGTGTCTCCCCCCCGTGTCTCCCCCCGTGTCTCCCCCCCCGTGTCTCCACACCCCGTGTCTCCCCCCCCGTGTCTCCACACCCCGTGTCTCCCCCCCGTGTCTCCCCCCCCCCGTGTCTCCACACCCCGTGTCTCCACCCTCCCGTGTCCCCCCCCCCCCCGTGTCTCCACCCCCCCGTGTCCCCCCCCCCCGTGTCTCCACCCTCCCGTGTCTCCCCCCCCCCGCCCCCGTGTCTCACCTTGCGCCTGAAGGGGTCCGTGAGCACGAGTTTCGTGTCGTCCGAGCCGGACAACAGCAGCTCCCCTCGCTCGCTCCAGCACAGCGAGTTAACACAGCCTTCGTGTACAGGGAGACGTGTCTCCAGGCTGAGACGCTGCACAAACTCCAGACGTGCTGCACACACAGAGACACAGTGAGACACAGAGAGACACGGTGAGAGACACGGTGAGAGACACGGTGAGAGACACAGCGAGTTGACGCAGCCTTCGTGTACAGGGAGATGTGTCTCCAGGCTCAGACGCTGCACAAACTCTACACGTGCTGCACACACAGAGACACAGAGAGAAACAGAGACACAGAGAGAGACACGGTGAGAGACACAGCGAGTTAACACAGCCTTCGTGTACGGGGAGACGCGTCTCTAGGCTGAGACGCTGCACAAACTCCAGACGTGCTGTGTACACAGAGACACAGAGAGACACGGAGACACGGAGAGAGACACGGTGAGAGATAGAGAGACACGGTGAGACACAGAGAGACACTGAGAGACACGGTGAGACACAGAGAGACACGGAGAGAGACACGGTGAGAGACAGAGAGAGACACGGTGAGACAGAGAGAGACACAGCGAGTTAACACAGCCTTCGTGCACGGGGAGACGTGTCTCCAGGCTGAGACGCTGCACAAACTCCAGACGTGCTGCACACACAGAGACACAGAGAGAGACAGAGAGACAGAGAGACACAGCGAGTTAACACAGCCTTCATGTACGGCAAGACGTGTCTCCAGGCTGAGACGCTGCACAAACTCCAGACGTCCTGTGTACACAGAGACACGGTGAGAGACAGAGAGACACGGTGAGAGACACGGTGAGAGACACGGTGAGAGACACAGCGAGTTGACGCAGCCTTCGTGTACAGGGAGATGTGTCTCCAGGCTCAGACGCTGCACAAACTCTACACGTGCTGCACACACAGAGACACAGAGAGAAACAGAGACACAGAGAGAGACACGGTGAGAGACACAGCGAGTTAACACAGCCTTCGTGTACGGGGAGACGCGTCTCTAGGCTGAGACGCTGCACAAACTCCAGACGTGCTGTGTACACAGAGACACAGAGAGACACGGAGACACGGAGAGAGACACGGTGAGAGATAGAGAGACACGGTGAGACACAGAGAGACACTGAGAGACACGGTGAGACACAGAGAGACACGGAGAGAGACACGGTGAGAGACAGAGAGAGACACGGTGAGACAGAGAGAGACACAGCGAGTTAACACAGCCTTCGTGCACGGGGAGACGCGTCTCCAGGCTGAGACGCTGCACAAACTCCAGACGTGCTGCACACACAGAGACACAGAGAGAGACAGAGAGACAGAGAGACACAGCGAGTTAACACAGCCTTCATGTACGGCAAGACGTGTCTCCAGGCTGAGACGCTGCACAAACTCCAGACGTCCTGTGTACACAGAGACACGGTGAGAGACAGAGAGACAGAGAGACACAGAGAGTTAACACAGCCTTCGTGTACGGCAAGACGTGTCTCTAGGCTGAGACGCTGCACAAACGCCAGACGTGCTGCACACACAGAGACACAGAGAGAGACAGAGAGACACGGAGAGAGACACAGCGAGTTAACACAGCCTTCGTGTACGGGGAGACGCGTCTCCAGGCTGAGACGCTGCACAAACTCCAGACGTGCTGCACTAGCAGAGACACGGTGAGACAGAGAGACACAGAGAGACACGGAGAAAGACAGAGAGACATGGTGAGAGATACGGAGAGAGACATGGTGAGACACGGTGAGAGACACAGCGAGTTGACACAGCCTTCGTGTACGGGGAGACGTGTCTCTAGGCTCAGACGCTGCACAACTCCAGACGTGCTGTACAAGCAGAGACACGGTGAGACAGAGACACGGTGAGACACGGTGAGAGACACAGCGAGTTAACACAGCCTTCGTGTACAGCAAGACGTGTCTCTAGGCTGAGACGCTGCACAAACTCTACACGTGCTGCACAAGCAGAGACACAGAGAGAGACACAGAGAGAGACACAGCGAGTTGACACAGCCTTCGTGCACAGCAAGACGTGTCTCCAGGCTGAGACGCTGCACAAACTCCACACGTGCTGCACACACAGAGACACAGAGAGAGAGACACAGAGACACAGCGAGTTAACACAGCCTTCGTGTACGGGGAGACGCATCTCCAGGCTGAGACGCTGCACAAACTCTACACGTCCTGTGTACACAGAGACACAGAGAGACACAGAGACACGGAGAGAGACACGGTGAGACATGGTGAGACACAGCGAGTTGACGCAGCCTTCGTGTACAGCAAGACGCGTCTCTAGGCTCAGACGCTGCACAAACTCTACACGTGCTGTGTACACAGAGACACAGAGACACAGAGACACGGTGAGAGACACGGTGAGAGACAGAGAGACACAGAGAGTTAACACAGCCTTCGTGTACAGCAAGACGTGTCTCCAGGCTGAGACGCTGCACAAACTACAGACGTGCTGTACACACAGAGACACGGAGAGAGACAGAGACACGGAGAGAGACACGGTGAGAGACACAGCGAGTTAACACAGCCTTCGTGTACAGAAAGACGTGTCTCTAGGCTGAGACGCTGCACAAACTCCAGACGTGCTGTGTACACAGAGACACAGAGACACATAGACACAGAGACACAGAGACACGGTGAGAGACACAGCGAGTTAACATAGCCTTCGTGCACGGGGAGACGCGTCTCCAGGCTGAGACGCTGCACAAACTCCACACGTGCTGTGTACACAGAGACACGGTGAGACACGGTGAGAGACACGGAGAGACACAGAGAGAGACACAGCGAGTTAACACAGCCTTCGTGTACAGCAAGACGTGTCTCTAGGCTGAGACGCTGCACAAACTCCACACGTGCTGCACAAGCAGAGACACGGTGAGACAGAGAGAGAGACACGGTGAGAGACACGGTGAGAGACAGAGAGAGACACAGAGAGAGACACGGTGAGAGACACAGCGAGTTGACGCAGCCTTCGTGTACGGGGAGACGTGTCTCCAGGCTGAGACGCTGCACAGACTCTACACGTGCTGCACACACAGAGACACAGAGAGAGACACAGAGAGAGACACAGCCTTCGTGCACGGGGAGACGCATCTCCAGGCTGAGACGCTGCACAAACTCCAGACGTGCTGCACAAGCAGAGACACAGAGAGACACGGTGAGAGACACAGCGAGTTGACACAGCCTTCGTGTACAGGGAGACGTGTCTCCAGGCTGAGACGCTGCACAAACTCTAGAAGTGCTGCATAAGCAGAGACACAGAGACACAGAGACACGGTGAGACACGGAGAGAGACACAGCAAGTTAACACAGCCTTCGTGTACGGGGAGACGTGTCTCTAGGCAGAGACGCTGCACAAACTCCAGACGTGCTGCACTAGCAGAGACACGGTGAGACAGAGAGACACGGTGAGACACGGTGAGACACGGTGAGAGACAGAGAGAGAGACAGAGAGACAGAGAGACACAGCGAGTTAACACAGCCTTCGTGTACGGGGAGACGTGTCTCCAGGCTGAGACGCTGCACAAACTCCAGACGTGCTGCACACACAGAGACACAGAGACACGGTGAGACACAGAGAGAGACAGAGAGAGACACAGCGAGTTGACGCAGCCTTCGTGTACGGGGAGACGCGTCTCTAGGCTAAGACGCTGCACAAACTCCACACGTGCTGCACACACAGAGACACGGAGAGAGACAGAGACACGGTGAGACACGGAGAGAGACACAGCGAGTTGACGCAGCCTTCGTGTACGGGGAGACGTGTCTCTAGGCTGAGACGCTGCACAAACTCTACACGCGCTGCACAAGCAGAGACACAGAGAGAGACACAGAGAGACAGAAAGACACGGTGAGACACAGAGAGACACAGAGAGAGACACAGAGAGACACGGAGAGAGACAGAGAGACACGGTGAGACATGGAGAGACACGGTGAGACACGGTGAGACACGGTGAGAGACACGGAGAGAGACACAGAGAGTTAACACAGCCTTCGTGTACAGGGAGACGTATACAAACTCTACACGTGCTGCACACGCAGAGACACGGTGAGAGACACAGAGAGACACGGTGAGACACAGAGAGAGACACAGAGAGAGAGACGGTGAGACACAGAGAGACACGGTGAGACATGGAGAGACACGGTGAGACACGGAGAGACACGGTGAGACACGGTGAAACACGGTGAGACATGGTGACACGGTGAGACATAGAGAGACACGGAGACACGAGTAGAGACACGGCGAGAGACACGGTGAGACACAGAGAGGCACAGAGAGACACGGAGAGAGACAGAGAGACACAGTGAGAGACACGGTGAGACATGGAGAGACACGGTGAGACACGGAGACACGGTGAGACACGGAGAGACACGGTGAGACACGGAGAGACACGGTGAGACACGGAGACACGGTGAGACACGGAGAGACACGGTGAGACACGGAGAGACACGGTGAGACACGGAGACACGGTGAGACACGGAGAGACACGGTGAGACACGGAGAGACACGGTGAGACACGGAGAGACACAGCGAGAGACACAGAGAGACACGGTGAGACACGGTGAGACATGGTGGGAGACACGGGGAGACAGGGTGAGACACGGCGAGAGACACAGAGAGACACGGTGAGACACGGTGAGACACGGTGAGACACTGTGTCAGACACGGTGAGACACAGGAAATCTTCAAATCAAGACAACTTGAACCGTTCGGATAGCCACCGCCTCGGTGCAGTGTGGAAGCGAATCATCAAATAACCGCGTTTTTTTAAATGCATGCCTACGAAGGGCAGCCTACTTCAAGAGGGATTACTGTTGGCACTAGCTACGTGACCACCAGGCTAACTACACTAATCACAACGTAACTAGCTACGTGACCACCAGGCTGAGTACACTAATCACAACGTAACTAGCTACGTGACCACCAGGCTAACTACACTAATCACAACGTAACTAGCTACGTGACCACCAGGCTAACTACACTAATCACAACGTAACTAGCTACGCCACCACCAGGCTAAATACACTAATCACAACGTAACTAGCTACGTGACCAACAGGAAAACTACACTAATCACAACGTAACTAGCTACGTGACCACCAGGCTAACTACACTAATCACAACGTAACTAGCTACGTGACCACCAAGCTGACTACACTAATCACAACGTAACTAGCTACGTGACCACCAGGCTAACTACACTAATCACAACGTGACTAGCTACATGACCACCAGGCTAACTACACTAATCACAACGAAACTAGCTGCGTGACCACCAGGCTGAGTACACTAATCACAACGTAACTAGCTACGTGACCAGCAGGCTAACCACACTAAGCACAACGTA